CGCAGCACATGACAGGGGTCGAAGCACTTGCCCAAATAGTTTTCATGAAGCACGACCTCCATCATGTGTATTGCGGGACTCCGTTCAAAATCCGGACACAAGCATCGGCTGCATGGGTGTGTACTGTAATAAACAAGAGCTATTCTCAGGAACGGGGCTTAAGGCCTTGGTAAACAGGGCTGTTCCAGCATGCTTGGGATCGTGTTTCCTCTTCGTGTTTAGATTGCACGCTTTACTCCTCCCAGCCTGACACCGTACAGAAAACCAAGCCTTAATCTGTAAAGCCCTATAGGCCTGAAACTCTGAACCCCAAGTCCTCTCGTAGCCGGGGAGCTTCATCCGGCTGGTGCTTGCTGTGTCAGGAAGATTTTCAAGGTTGGCGGCCCGAAAATACTAGCCCACATCGGGGTTTATGGCTTAATAGGGTTAGGGTTTGGTGTGGCATCTAGGTCCTAGGTGTACTAGCTGCTCCGAGTACCTAGGCAAACAGGCTGAGGATTCCGATGCTTGACTTCGTCGTCCGGCTGGCACCGACCGGTCTGAGGAGGTCAACAACTTGCTAAGCCTTTCTTGGAGGTCCACATTTTGGCACCGCTCGCACAAACCAGCAAAAGTATGCAAAATTGGCTCAGGCATTTTTGGGGAGATCCAATACCAGCAAAAGACGGGTGATTCTGTTTTTGGAGCGCAGTATAGTTGCATGCCAACATACAGATGTGGGCCTGTAAGGAGATAGACAAGCCATTATGACCAGCTGGATAGCTATTGAAATGGATGGTGAACAGGCACAGGTGGACTGCGGTTGGAGTTATGAAACGAACACGACTAGCAAATTCGCGGTTAGCAGGCTGAGGCTTCCGGGTCTGACCACGGCTGCACTTATCCAATTCAGTGCACGGCCAGCGGGCGTGTTTGCTTATGGTTACATAATGCCCGACAGGGTATGCCCCACGACAGAATCGAAGTACGTGTAGCCAGCGGGCTAGGTTCTGGTGTCATAAAATGCTATGCTTGATTGCATGTCTTTGCACTGGTGAGTTTCAAGTTGCCGGACCTTATCACTCCTGAGGGCCTTTGTGCGGTGATCCAACAGGTGGTACGGCCACACTTTCTCGCACACGAAGCGCTACCTTCTAACAGAAAACAGTTCTGCGGAAGGGAACTGACCGCATCCTCCGCGGTCGAGCTTGTCAGCTTCTGGTCCAGGACCGTTGCAAGGTACGGGTGTGTGGTCTAAGACCTGGGTACAACACCTCTTGCCGCTGCCTTCAGGCAGCTGTGCTCTGCAGCGAAGGGCCAAGCCATCGACTAAAGCCGGCATTCGCGACTGCCGACCTTGAATTGTAGCTGCTTCGGGGCATCCTGTGACCAGGGTCTGGTTCACTTTCGGAACGGTATTGCCAGGACCAGAGAGGCGAGGCGGCGAGACAAGAGGTTTCAGCGTCTATTGCCATATCTTGCAATGCAGTGGTCGCTTACGTACAAAACGTGCAGCTCACAAGTTCAACTCCGAAACTTTACACTGCGGATCTCATGCGGACTTCGCTGCATAGAGCAATTTGAGACCCATTTCGGAGGCTAAGGCTTCAAGAGTCTGCCAGCCGGAAACAGATGGTCTGACAGCAAGCCTTTCAAGCTCGTGTGCTGAAGGCTGTGCCAGGTGTCATATATAGTACATCCAAGAGTCAGAGTCTTGTGGCCACACAGAAGTTTTATTGGAATTCAGGAATCAGTGTTTGAGAATTCTAGGCATCAGGCTCGTCTTGAAAGACATTTGCGATCATCGCTGGTCGTCTCCATACTAGTTTTACCACGTCCACTGATTGTGATCATTGGCGTCGTTTCTGCTACAGCCAGCATTTGCCTTGCCTTGCCCGTCTCCACGTCTAGCTGTCTCTACTGCCAGACACTGCTGGACGCAGCTCTTCCGTGATTCCATTACTAGCATTGCGGCCCTATCCGGGTCATCAAATCGCTAGAGGTGTTAGACGTGCATCAGTGCAGTATGCTTCGATGGTGCCTATCTGATGTTCACCGCCAGCATCATAGATGTGCTTGTACACTCGACTTGTTTGTGGCATGCAACACCATCGTCATCGTCACAGAAACTTGTCATGATCTGCCACCATCACCCACATCGCCAGTACTGCTTACAACGTTCATGTTCATGTTGATGTTGTAGTTGCAGTGGTTGACCTTTACTTCCTTTAAATTGTGACTAATGTCCGAAACCATCGCAGGCTGCAGGCCTGGTACGCTCAAGTTCGATGAATGCCGTAGTTGCCGTAGTTCTTAGTTCTTGCTGGGGCCCAGGCCATCTGCGTTGTCGTCAGCTCGCACCCTGAAGTTTTGAGCGACAGCTCGTGCAGTTCGGATTCCCATCTGGGCATGGTCGGGTCTTGTTCTGAGATCCTGGGACTCGGCGCCCTATCTCCTCCCTAGTCTCCCTTGAGTTCTCCATCTCCTGACTCGAAAGCCCCTCGCAACCTTTAGCCCTTAGTACCCAGGGCCAGGATTCCTGCGATCGGAACTGGGGAAGGGGGCGAGAAGCCGGGAGCAACCCAGCTCGACCTGACATGCAATGATGTAGATTCTGGCTTTCGGAGGCCGCGGGTCTGAAATGAGAGTTGGCAGCTTCTACACATTGGCTCATTTTACCAATGTTGTGACCACTTCGCAAGTTGACCCGGGCGCCGGGCTTTGCTGTAGTTTTCTGTATCCCTCCTCCACCTTCACCTTGTCCACAAGAATCCACGACCAGCTCGCTCATGTTGGCATGATTTTACTACTGTCGTCAACAACACGGCCGGCACGATGATGACCACCCACCTGTCATTGTCAGTATGATGATCCTCGTCATCATCACAGTCACTGTCGTCAGCGGCATCATGACCACATCATGTTCACCGTCAGCAGCAGCAGCAGCAGCAGCAGCAGCAGCAGCAGCAGCAGTTCACTGACTCCACATCACAGTCCTCGGCATGCTCATCTTCATCACTATCACCATCGTAGCTTTCGTTTGCATGGCCATGTGGCCGCAGGAACCACGACATCGTCCGCATCATCGGCAGTCTCATCTTCACCATTTGCAGCATTGACGACGAATGCCATCAGCATCTCTAGCGTGACCACAGTCGCACCTTCTCGCCGCCGGCGTACGGGTAGTGTCCACTGTTGCCATGAGCTCTAACATCATTAGCATCACCTTATGATCGCGGATATCCTGAGCACTCACCATTTGTTTGTATTCTCTCTCTCTATCTATCTCTCTCTCTCTCTCTCTCTCTCCCTGACTCTCTCTCTCTCTCTCTCTCTCTCTCTCTCAAACACATGCACACCTTTCCGTGGTCATATTCCGTTAGCATCATCAAAATGAGTCTGCTCGGTTCTCATCAATCGTTCTTTCTCAGTCATCGTTGCAGTGGCCGGTTTCAGCCTTGCACAGCGGCACCATAAACGGTCATAAAGAGCGACAGCGGCAACAACAACAACAACAGCAGCGCCAACGCCAATGCCGCAGCTGACAACACCACAACATAAGCCCAGCCACCACTATCAGCATTGTCGCCAGCCACAACATCATCTTTGTCGTCGAAGCCATCATCGTTATCACCACCATCATCAATCATCACCGTCGTCATAACAACCAGCAGCTGTGGCGACACAATCACGACAGCCACAGCCGCCACCACGACCACAGCCAGCCAACGGCGCCACAACTGCCACCATCACAAGCACCTCCACCATCATGGCCACCGCCACCACCACCACCACCACCACCACCACCACCACCACCACCACCACCACCACCACCACCACCACCACTACCACCACCACCACCACCACCACCACCACCACCACCACCACCACCACATGACCACACGAATCACCACCATCACCGTCCGCATGCCCTTTGCAAGTCTAGTTCCCTTCATCATAACCAACATCCTCGTCATCATCAGCAACATCATCATCATCTTCATCACCATCAGCTGGATTATGACTTTCGTGTTACCAGACTACCAGCCTTAGCGGATAATTACTGATTAAACATGGGCACCAGCTGAAACATCGCCAGGACAGCAGCAGTCAGTCTTTCGCCTCGAGCACCAGCGTTTCAACACAACCGGTTGGATTCCTGTCACCACCAGAAACAGGCTGAGCAGCTACTGGCGATGTCCCCAAGCTGTAGCAGGAGTGCATGTATACATACATACGCACACACACACACACATATATATATATATATATATATATATATATATATATGGTCACCCCCCCCCCATGACAGACCATCCCCTTTAAAACACCGCCCCTACCGGCGACTTCGTGCTTTTCCAGAGTGTCGAGTTTGAGCCCTGATTTCGTCTGTCCAGAACGACACTAGAGCCAAAACCAAAAAACCAAAAAACCAAAGTCTCACGGAGAATGCCGGAACAGTTTTGTTTTTTTGGATTTTTGGATTTTTGTTTTTTTGTTTTTTTGGTTTTTTGGTTTCGCTATGTAAAAACCAAAAAACCAAAAAACCAAAAAACCAAAAATCCAAAAAAACAAAACTGTCCCTGCATTCTCCGTGAAACTTTGGTTTTTTGGTTTTTTGGTTTTGGCGGGACCCTTGTGGCCCAGACCGGCTGGGGTTGTGGGCGGTGCATTAAGCAAATTCCGTAGTTCCCGGTTTGGGGGGCCCAAACCGGGTGGGTTTGCGGGTGGTGCATTAAGCAAATTCCGCGGTTCGCGGTTTGGGGGGGCCCAAATCACGTGGGTTTGCCATTGGTGCATTAAGCAAATTCCGTGGTTACCGGTTCGGGGTGGCCCAAACCGGGCCCATCAGCGTACGCAACCTGTGCCCCCAAAACCGCGCTAACAACCCAGATAAGCAGTATTACAAACTACACAATCCACACGAAGCGATCAAACATCAATGGTTCGATGATGCTTTTCCCACTGCGCAAAACTGCCTCGAAGCTTTCCGGCCTTACACTCGCATAATGAGGAGTTCTCTACAGTTCAAACAAGTACTGCAGCATATTGCCCGCAGCCTTCCAGGCATTCTGGCCTTTCGTCCAATACGTAAACTGAGCTGCTCTAATCTTCCGTCGAAGAATCACATTGCCAGGCTTGCGTTGCGTGTATTTTACATGTGCCCGCAAGTGACCCCAAAACCTGTCGATGATTTGCGTCCCTGACTTCACTTTCAATGTTTTCTTGTTCGGCATCTTCAACTTGTACACCTTGGTGAAGTGGGGCTTCACCCAAACGGCCTGCAGGGTGTTTCAACAAATAGTATAACAAAAAACCTTAGTTAAGCACCCACCTTCTTGTTGATAATGATTCGTTTTTTCTTGTGAACGACATTGCAGTGCATGACACCGGGGATGCGAAGTTTGTAAGCACGAGCGCCATCTGTATGCAAAACCACATGCCGATCACGAAGAAGCTTATTGCCGATGTCACTCCAATCCCGTTTGCGAATTGGTCCGGGTCCGGGTGCGCGAGGTGCTGTCAAAGGCGGCTCCAACCGAAACAACCGCAATGACGACGGTCGCCCCCGCTCCACCGTCCCACACCATTGCTCCCAACGGAGCTTGGGCTTCTGATCACTGTCCTCCTCGAGGGCCTTCCCTACATCCACCTCGTCAGCCTCAACATCCCTCCAAAGATCACCCGATGCACTGCCGTAGGTAATGGACTTCTCCTTATGCTCCACATATCGGGCTCTTGCGGCATCCAAGTTGCTGTACACTCGTTCTACTGCTTTGTGGTCTGTGTTCAAAATCAGGTGGGCGGAGTTCACCGAAACCCCTGCGAGCGCAGCATAGAAGATGCAAACCTGGACATGGAGAGGTGTCACCGATGAGCTTGAACCTCGAAAGAAGATCGGATGGAAATCGTCTGGCTGAAGATACTTCTTACATCCGCGAGATGAGCATTGATGCATCCATGTTTTGCGGGATTTGACGAACTTCAACTTGCTCAGCTTTCCCATGCCACAACGAGGACATACTTGGCCTTTCCACTTAGGAAGGATACCATCCCGTTGGAGTGTTTGCAAAAGCTTCTTGTAGGGCATAGCCGAGAAATTCTGGATTGAATGACCCCAACGTGCGCGATGAGCCCTGGATTTCGTAGTGATTTCCCCATGACGGACATAAGACACTGTAGTCGAGCTCTTCATGGTCTTCGATGCCGGTTTCTTGATATTCGCCCTGCGTTTGCCCCTTTTAGGGGTGGGCCATGGTCCTTTGGACTTGGCCTTGAGGCCTTTGGGATACGTCTTCTTCGGCATGGCTTTGAAGCGATGAAAATTATTCGAACACCCAAAACTGCGAAGAACATCAACGGATCTGGTGCAACATCGGTTGTCGTGTCATGCCCGCTTTGCAAGAGCACATCCTAGCACGAGTGATTCCCAATACATGTTTCCAAGTCCAAAACCTTGCGAGGTCCGCGGGCGTACTGTTTGTGAGACTTTCCAAAACTCGAAATTGCCACACTGTCGCGCAAGATGTCAAACATACTCTTATGTACGAGTTTGATTAAGACACATGGCGGCCCTTTACAGCTATAAATGCTAGCAGTGGGAACATACCGACGAGTTGCGGCACCTATCGCAATATGCCACACAAACTGGCTCCTTACTGCGCTCATACAGGGCCTGGGGGACACAAGGCTGCATCACTCACTCATCCACATCCATGTCCGACCCCATTGAGTTGCGGTCCCCGCTTTCGGTGTGTGCCATGCTTTCGTCCATGTCGGCCATGTGGTTTTCCTGCTCCTTGTCCTCCGTGATTCCCCCGTCCGCATTGCCCCCATTCGCTTCTTGTTCATCAATGAGCATCTCCAAATCCCTGACAAGGTCGTCGTCCTCCGCACTGGGCTTACCTACCTCTGCTTTCACATCCTTCTCGGGGGTGTCCTCGATGTCGATGGTGAGGCCGTTAGGGGTTGAGGCCAACGTAGCAAAGGAGTTTACTGCAAGCTCTTGCTTGATGGAGTGCACACAGTTCGGCTTGGGCTTGGGGGAGGGTGAATCTTGGATTTCGATGGGTCGACCGGCACACTCATCAGCCACCCGACGGGCTTGCATCGCGAAGCCTTGCTGGGTGGACTCCCTCTTCACTCTAATTGGGGTGGAAGGATGCTCCAGCTTCACCGAAGGAACCGTGGAAGGGACAGGATCACGAACAGGAACCGGGACAGGATCACGAACAGGAACCGGGACAGGATCACGAACATGCTGTGGAAACTCACCCGTGAGACTGCGACACAACTCAGCATTGAGTCTGGAGGTGGTTTCATCGCTGTTGTATGTAGGTGTAGCCGAGGAGGATGCCACATTTGAGAACAAACTGACTCTGCGCAGAATTGTTGGCCTGCTTGGCAAATTTTTCTCACCCGCCATGGCCTTGCGAACCCAATCAGCTTCCCACTCAACCTTTTTGTTGAAATCTGCGGGCAAATCCTTTCCTCCCTTCCTGTGGTAGTCATAAACCATGCGAGAATCCAGATGAAGAAAGTCGGTTTTGTCACCCAATGGAATGCGGAGCACTGGATTTTCATTCTCGGATGCCGGGCGGATGTAGAGCGAAGTGGCGGTGTTGACGCAGATATGCGTTCTTTTCAAAACAGCCATCACATTCGACTCGGATGCCTCTTTGCTGTACCATGCGGATTCCAACATCTCGAGGAAAACCTTATGTGCGATGTAGGTGTGACGACCTTCCTGGATGTCGAGGAGGGGTTGGTCGAGGGCTGGCTCGGATTTGATGTCGAAGTCGTTCACACAATAGATTCTCGCCTGCCCCCTGACCCACTTAGCTGCCCCCCACCTCTCCTTGGACATGGATTCGATGTTTCCGACGTCTGTAAAGGCTTTCACTTTCTTGAAGGGTTGCTCTGAAAGCGTGCCGTCATCGAATATGTCGGGCCTGGTGAGCGTACCGGTTTGGCCTTAACGAAGGAAGCATATGACATGCTATTTAGTTTTCTGTATGCATAAAACCAGTCCAAAATGATTTGCATGTCCAACAAAAATGGTAACTTGTTATACCTATTTTGTATTATACAGATTCTATGTGCCTGTATATGTATATGCATACCAGGAACCGCGGAAAAAATCGAACTCGGATGCTTGGCGAAATGATGGGATTACCTTGCCCGTCTGCCCCAACTCCGCGATCCAATACCGAGAGAGCGCCATCGCTATCGTTCGTGCCACCGGGGTTTTGCCTCTGCCGGGGATCCCATGGAAACCGATTGCCTTCTCTTGCAGCGTGTTGAACAATGTGCCGAGGGCTTTGAGGATGCGTGTATCAAGGTCGTAAAGGGTCAGGGGCCAAACTTCGTGGACCTTTGCGAGGACACCGTCTTGACAAAGGTTGCGAAGGCTTTTCTCCACTAGAACAGGCGACCACTTGTAGATGGGGGAATCCTTCTGGCTTGTCTGAACAGTGATCCATCTCAATGCACGATTCTTGACATGATCACGAGGGCCTTTCTCCTCAATGAAATCAAACCCGTAATCCCACTCCGCTTGGGTGCGCTCGACATCCGGCTTACCTTCTTCGACGGTGCGAAGTGTATGCTGTCGAAACTGATGCCCACCAAGTTTCTCGAATATGAAGTGCACGCATTTCTTCATGGTCTTAACCTCGCCTGCCCAATCCACCACATAAGGCTTTCCGTAACACATAGAACGAGCGATGTCGACTTTCACCTTGTCTTTGAGGTTGATGATTTTTACTGCGCAAAACTTTTCATTGTCCTGTTTCAGGATAGCGAGGTCAAGCCTGACAGGTGCTTCAGTCGGTCGTGCTACACCAAATGGTTTAGGGAGTGATGGCACGGATTTGTCCTGCAACGCCTTTGTGATGTTTGTGACGGGGCACGCGGGAATATCCATCACGATGTCGAAGAAACACTTAGCCATCCCTGTGCTGGGCATGTCGACAATCGGGAGATCCAACACCGTCAGGGGGCCAAGCGGGAGGTTCGAAATCTCGTGGGGGTCGCACGGGTAGAGTTTCAACTTCCCCACTTCAGTTTTCACCTCATGTTGAAGCTTTCTTCTACAAGCTAAAAAACAACAAGCGCATCAACATAGTTCACGAAAACAACGTTTACACACATAATCACATTCACATATATTGGATGCTTAGCAAGTGGCGTCATCCAACGACATGTTGCCAGCATTCGCCATGCTGAAGATGATGATGACGATGGAACTGCTACTTTCAGACACTGTTAGTTCGAGACGACAGATGGCTTGGGTTTCTGCGGCGATGCGGATCTTTATCTGTCAAGACTACTCTATATAAGTCAAGCGAACATGTGATTCTATTACTGCTCCACCCTTGCCCTTCCCCACGACGGTCTTTCATGGGGGGGGTGAGCATATATATATATATATATATATATTGCACTGACTATTTCTATATACTGTATAATATATATATATATATATATATATATATATATATATATGCCTTAGGCTAGTTGAAACAAAAGGCATCTCGGGTGCCAGCATCTAAAGGCTTTGAAGTCACGTCCGAATTCTAGCGACATCTGGGCTGCTGGGGCTTACTCTCGGAAGCCAGGAATTTAGTCGGGGCTGGACAAGATGATCCAAGCAGAGCATACTACCCGATCCAAACATCCGAGTTGCAAGATGATGGGCGGAGCAACGACAAGAGGCAGTTTATCGGATAGACACGGACCCATGCCGCCGGAGCTCTCTTGCTGCAAGCTGCTGACGCACCTCCCAAAAGTTGTGCCAGAGGCGCTGTTCGTTCGAATCGTCGTGGTGCTCCATTTTGGCTGTTATCTATGCTAACTGCCGCCATCCTTTTGCAGACTGTCAATAATGACTACTGACGACTACTGGCACTAACCCCTGCCCCGAAACTTCTACGGATGCTGCCACTGTCACGACTTTTCGCTTCTGGTCGTACTGCTAAAAGCATACCAAATACTCCCAGCGACTTCTACGTAGTACTGTACTGCTGATAGTAATACTGTCGACGACTACAACTGCCACCTCTGCCACGGCGACGACAACGACGACTGCCACCATGAAATGACACAACCAGTACTAGTACATATACTGCTGCTGCTTTTCCTACTGCTACTGCTACTGCTACTACTACTACTACTACTACTACTACTACTAGTACTACTACTTCTGCGACGACGACTAATCCTACTACTACTACTACTACTACTTCTACTACTGCTACTGCTACTGCTACCGTTTACTGCTACTGCTACTGCTTCTGCTACTGCTACTGCTACTACTACTACTACTGCTACTGCTACTGCTACTGCTACTGCTACTACTACTACTACTACTACTACTACTACTACTAGTACGAGTACGACTACGACTACGACTACGACTACGACTACGACTACGACTACTACTACTACTACTACTCCTACTCCTACTCCTACTACTACTTCTACTACTACTACTACATTACTACTGCACTACTACTACTACTACTACTGCTACTACTACTACTACTGCTGCTACTACTACTACTACTAGTACTACGATTACTACTACTACTACTGCTACTACTACTACTACTACTCCTACTACTACTACTACTACTGCTACTGCTACTACTACTACTACTACTACTACAAATGCTACTACTACTACTACTACTTCTACTACTACTACTTCTTCTAGTACTACAACTACTACTGCTACTGCTACTACCACTGCCTTTGCTACTGCTTTCGCTACTGCTTTGGCTATTGCTTTTGCTACTGCTGCTGCCGCTACTACTGCTACTGCTACTACTACTACTACTACTACTACTAGTTCTACTCTACTACTCTTAGTACTACTCTACTACTACTAGTACTAGTACTAGTACTAGTGCTGGTACTGGTACTAGTTCTAGTACTAGTTCTAGTACTACTACTACTAGTACTTCTACTACTACTACTACTACTAGTACTAGTACTACTCTACTACTACTAGTACTAGTACTAGTACTAGTACTAGTACTAGTACTAGTACTAGTACTAGTACTAGTACTAGTACTAGTAGTACTACTACTACTACTACTACTACTACTACTACCACTACTACTACTACGACTACTACTATCACTACTACTCCACTGCTGCTGCTACTACTACTACCACCACCACTGCTGCCGTCGCTGCTGCTACGACGACGACTACAGCTTACAACTACCATTGCTGCTACGGATTAGTTAGGTACCCTAGGTGAAATTGATTGCATACTTCAGTTTTATTGCCATCCCAGAGTGGCATGCATTAGTTAGACCGTGCGTACCTTTTTCGACATCCTCGTCGTGTTTCGCCGACCCAGCAGCCCTGTCAAGCCGTTGGATTCAACAAGGAGGAGTTGTCAGCTGAAGCCGTAGAACGCGGCGCTTTCCACCATAGTTTTCGAGTGCCATCCGTGGGGATGCTTACGAGCCTGCTTTGCAGGTGTCCGCTCTCGCCGCGCCACGTGAAACCCAGCGATTCAGTGCGCGGCATTCATCAATCACGGTGCTTGAGACGTGCATCTGTTCATTTGCGCTTCAGGGGTCGGGCAGCCTGTTTTTCGTAGCTATGAATGTGTAGTGACTGCGTAGAGTGAGGGTGAAGCCGGGACCACGATGTTCGGATGCTAGTTACGTATGTGTAAGTCCGCCGAAAGGCCATACACCAGTGACAGCAACATGTTTTGGCTTCTGTTAATCATGGCATGAATGTCAACACCCGATAGCGTCTCTAGGCGACAGCGGCGGCAAGTCCATGCCTGCTGCGACTATTCGCCAGATGTTGTCCTCGAACCAGTTGGCGCAATGCAACCCTTGCTGATCTTTGCGATGGTGGTGATGTAAGGCGCTGGCAGTAGCTCGGCACAACGAAGGCTTAGGCCGTGGCCTAACTGCCCAGCTTATTGCTGTCTGCACTGCCCTGGAACATCAAGTCATAGCTAACATGCCTAGGACTCAGTTGAGCACCTTTGCTGTCTCTGGCTCTCGCGTCTCCTGTTCCTCGCCGCCGTGATGATCATCACCGTCACTGGCAACACCGATGTCACTACCAGTCTTTGAGGCTCTAGTTAGTAAGCTGTCTCGAAAGCCACAGAACCACCACGTAAAGACCCCTCACTTCATGATTCGACTTGCGCCGGGTACTCCTAAGCCTCAACAGCCAAAGCTCCAGCAACCAAAACCGTCAAGAAGCATTTCTTTGTTTCCGGATGAACCTCCTTCCTAACACGACTTGGACTCGGCAATACTCTTGAGTTTTCTGCGAGTGTGTTCGGTCTCATTACTGATACAGTAGCTTGAATTTGGACATGAATGCAGTGATGCAAGCAATCAAGCCCTGTCATGGCCGCACTCCTCGTGGCTATTTGGCACAACGACACTGAACTGAAACTGAAACACGTGTGTGCCTTAGCAGAGATTTCAATAAGGAGACTAAGAGAGCCATGGATGGGCTGATCCGTGCCCGTGTTGCTCGGGCAGCCTTGTTCTCGGCCCTACCCGGCGGAGGCGCCATGACATGGAGCACGTTCAGGGTGTCCTTGCCTGGAGTTCTGAGGCTGAATCTTATGAAAGCCTGCAAGGTGTTGAAGCGGCAACCGAACAAGAAGCAAGAAAGAAACAAAACTGGACGTCTGATGCAACTTTCTATGTTTGCTCTACGTTGTTTCTAGGTGTTGTGACATTGTTGGTTCATTTTCGCTATGTTCCTCTAATGTTTTGCTTTTTGATGTCTATGTTCTATGTTGTTTCAAGTTTGGCTTCTCCTGCCGAGACAGAAGTTGATGTATATGGGAAGCATATGTAGGGCAGGCTCGCCCTAGAGTGGAAGCTGCCCAGAATAGAGGCCCTCTAGCTAGGAAAGCATAAGCATAATGTCGGAAAATAGAACCAATTACTACGAACACAAAAAGTCACCGGTCCAATTCTGGTCACACTTTTCTCGTATTTCTCCGCGTATTTAGAATTCGATGTAGAGTTCGATGTTTGGGTTTATGTTAGTTAGATTCAGCATATTCCAGGCTTACATAGGCATTCAGCCTCACAAGACTTGAGGGGCTTCTGGTTGATGTGTTCAGGGTTTGCACAAGCCACAGAAAACAGATGCACACACGCTTATTTCGTGTGGGTATGGAGTTTGTGTTTTGTTCTCTGGCAGCTGGACGGGTGTTCAGTAGTCAGTTCGTTCGGCAGGTGCCAGGTGCCTTCAGGAATTTTAGTTAGTCTGGATTGATTTCTTCCGGCTTGGGTGGTTCCTGACTCTGTTATGTAAACGGACTTTGAGAGCCACCCGCCAACTGCAAGCCTTCGCCCTTGATTTCAGTTATGCAGCATGCCTCTCTTCCACACGGTGTCGCCTTGGCTTGGGAACCCGTGCTTGTTTTGCTGTAGTTGCTTGTTTGCTGTCTTTGTGCGGACCCGGGAAGCCAGTGAGAGAAACCTGATCCCCGGCACGACAGCAAAAACATCCTCCCCCGCAGCGGCAGCAGACAAGAACTGCGCGGGACGACAGCAAGACAAAAACGCGCCCCTGCAACGACAGGAGAAAGAGCGCCCCGGGGGCCGACAGCAAGCCACAACACCTATTGAGGGGTGTGTAATACGGCCGCGCGGTATACCGCAGTACACTGGAGCAAGAACCCGGGGACCCGCAACGACAGCAACAAAAATCGCCCGCCGCCCGCCGCCCCTGCCCCTGCAACGCCAGCAAACAAAACAATTCCCTGCAACGACGTGCCACGACAGGCACTCTCACCCTTGGCTTGTCTCCTCTTGCTGCGCCGCACTGGCCATTGCTTGCCTTGTGCCTGCACTTTCGAAACTTGGTCTTTGCAGCGCTTGACCACGCCTGACTTTCGTTCAATTTGTTGCCTCATCATATAAGCGCCAGCACATCGGGCTCAGTCCGGAAGTCTGCAAGTGTTCCGATGGTGCTGCTTACAGACAGAATCATGTTAAAGGTAAACTCCTGTAGACAGCACCCTGGAGCTGGAACTGTCTCGACTCTGGTGAGCAGAATGGCAGACTCTTCTGAACGATGTTTAGACAAGGGATTGCCCGAAGCCTAGGAGAAATACAAGTTTGACAGCACCTGCAACGTCAAGGAAGTTGTGTTTACATCGTATTGCAGCCCATTCTGAGCTGTCTTAACAACGGTGAAGTGCCTAGTGCAAGCGTGACCTATCCAGTTGCTTAAGTCTGGCTGCCTCATGCAGATTTCAGCGACAGGTCCGGCACATGTCTGACCGCCCGTCCCTGCCACGACAGCACAACAAAGATACACCCTTGGCCACGACAGCACAACACTCTCACCGACCGACTACCGTGTGAGGAACACTGAAAGCGGGCAATGCCTCTTGGGACACCGACACTTGCTGCCTCGATTCCAGAGCCACAGTCCGCTAGTCACCACTTTGAAAGCGAATGGTTCGTGACCCAAAATGCTGCGTTCTCCGTAAAGAGAAGTTTTAGTCCTAAGCCTTCGATCCTGGAGCTGGCAGGTTTGTCTCTGTTGCTGGTCTTCGTGCTCGCCGATGAGGTCTGGCCTTTGGAGCCCTCCAGCCCGACGCTTTGTAGGACGCCTTGCTGCCAGAATCGTTTTAGCCTCTGGCCTCCCGATTTGAAGCTGAGGCTTTGACACAATGCCGGCAGGTAGGTGTAGGAAGTAATAGGCTAATGTTCGCTCGTTGCAGACATTGCGGCTGGCATGTATGCTGGCGGCCTCGGCGCTGCTCGTGACTTGACCAGAACGGCAAAGTGGGGCACGTGAGATTGGATCTTGCGCAAGCGTTTGCGCATTTTGCCAGGACCACATTAAAACTTGAGGAACGTGGGCTGGGGTCTACCACATCTCATTCCTGTTGCATCTACAGAGGCCCATGCTCAGTCCCGGCCCGGACAGTCACAGCCGCGTTTCACATTTATCGGGATATGTATGGGGTCCCAGGCCCAGGGCGTCAAACCTTAGATATGCCAAAACAAGATTCCCAAAGTTATCCTTAAGAAACTCTGTGTCGCCGTTCTCTTTCTGCTTCAGTAGGCAAAGGCCCCGCGAAGGCAGGACTGCAGGCGAACCGCAGGCGCAACTGCCACAGAAAGGTAAGGCCGCAGGGACTGCGGGGGACTGCAGGCTTGCAGCAACAACAGGAACGTAGGGCTGCAGAGTTTTGTGGTTTGCCGAATTGACGGTTTGGAATACCGCACTGATGACTGGGAATCAGGAACAAGTTTTAATGCTAGGGAACAAATTCTCGGTCTTATTGTTTGTTGTCCAACGTTCCCATACCCCCCGTCCTAATTTACGAACATCCGCAAGATGGAAACTTAGGAAATCGTCAGATCAGTAAAGCCCCTTTGGCGAGAGTTGTGCAGATTTTCGGGATTACAGCAATCTATGCTAGCACGTTTTGGTTTTGATTTTTTTCGTGCCACATATGTAAGTATACATACATACATACATACATACATATTATATATTATATTATATTATATTATATTATGTTATATTATATTATATCATATTATGTTATATTATACTATATTATATTATATCATATTATATCATATCATATTATATTATATTATATTATGTTATGTTATATTATATTATATAATATTATATAATATTATATTATGTTATATTATATCATATTATATTTTAATATATTATATCATATTATATTATATTATATTATGTTATGTTATATTATATTATATAATATTATATAATATTATATTATGTTATAATATATCATATTATATTTTAATATATTATATCATATCATATTATATTATATTATGTTATATTATATTATGTTATAATTATTTTAGCATTATATCATCATATTTATTGTATTATATTATATTATATTTATATTAAGATTATATTAGGTTATATCAGATTATATTAGGTTATATTAGATTTTATTATATTATGTTTTTTATATTATATTATATTAAATTATATTATATTATATTAGATTATATTAGATTATATTATATATATATTATATTATAATATATTATAATATATCAGATTATATTATACTATATATTATTATATATATTATATAATATTGTATAATATAATATTATATAATATTATATTATATTTTATTATATTATATCATATTATATTATATTATATTATATCAGATTAGATTAGATTATATTATATTGTATTATATTATATTACATTATATTATATTGTATTATATTATATTATATTATATTATACTATATTGTTTTATATTAACGCACTGCATAGCAAGTTGTCGACGTGTGTTGTGCACATGTTTCCAAAGCCCTGTTGCAAGACGCCTTTTAGACACTCGCAGTGCGTGCCTGTCTTGAGTGAGTACGTGCCGTCGAATCTAACCTGCAAACAGTAGTTGCAAAAGGTTCAATGTTGCCATGCTGAGTTTATATATGTTGGATACGGATATTGTTAACCTGAAAATAGACACTGCCGAAATAACCAAGTAAACAAGATTCAGACATATCATAAGGATGTACTACTCAACTAGGATGAATTCACCGCGTCCTTTCCTGGTTATGTGGGTGGGAAAAGCCTGGGCGGCCGCAGTTACAGCTGCTAGCCACTTCCATTCCGTCCCATTCCACTACCGAATATGTTTAGTTGTTGATGCTCAGCGAATGTAGAAGCAACACCCAGCCAATGTTTTAACACTGTATTTGCGGAAGAACTCAGTACACCGGTGATGTTCATGCATATCCTTCCAAAGTTAGTTATCTGTAAATCCTATATATATACATGATTAGCAATAGGTAAGCATTTTTTGTTCTTTTCTCCTTGTCGGCCAGTTCGTGTTCCTAAAGCACCATTTCAGAAGTCTTTATTTAAACTGTAAAGTGAATCAATATTTATGGCTGTAGGAATGTCAACCATCATCCAAGAGGCAGTAGCGAAACACTACTTGATGTTTTGCCTAGCGACTTCGTTGAGAATGACAGAACAATAAATACAAGCATGCGATTACGCATACATAAGCGCCATGGTCTTTAACGTGATGATCTCTTGGTGTCAGGGGGGGGTGTAAACCACAATAGCGAGAACCACAAACAGACAGCAGCAAGCAAACAAAAGAGTGGATTGGGCTTGGTTCCTGCTAAGTTTATGTGTACAACTGGCTGGGCTAAATTCCTCTTTTCGTGTTCTTCGTTTTGTTGTTGTTTTGTGCATGTCTCGGTTCTTATGTGTTCCAATGGGCTGGGCTTCGTTCGGTACATTCACTTTGTTTTGTCTTCCGGGTTTTGAATTAGTGTTCAGGGTTGTCATGTGTTGCAGGACTGGTGATCTTAACACTGACGGCTGCATTTTAACATGTTGTATGACAGCCTCAATGCTTTAGCATCGAATAATGTTTAAATACACAGTCGTGGCAGGTAAATAAGAGATGAACTTCACATTTCGCTGCATTCGATCATGCAAGAACTGAGAAACGGATTTAGCTCAGTACGTACTAGAAGCATTGGTTCAATATGGTTCAATAATGGTCATTCTCGCTATATATGTGCCCTGTTCGTATTTCACCTTTACGCGTGTTAACATTGTTCTGCGGTTCGCTCTTGTTGCACGGAGTATCAGGATCAGTCAGGTTTCTGGTTACACTGACATACTGTATGTATATATATATATATATATATATATACATACATATATTCTGTGAACAGCAGACTTTAAACGAGTAACCAGCAACTATGCACTATAGACATAGCCAAGCCTGCACACTGGAACATTAGACACCGCGGAGGTATCAGGCAAATCTTTAACAGTACACACTAGCCTCAATGCTGAAGCACAAGATCAGTACTGCGTAAGTATTCAATGCTACATATATGTGAAAAGCACTGGAAGCTAGTACCACGCGAGTAGTCCGACATTGAGGAGTGAAGTACCGTGCGAATATGAATGAAGCAGTGGTTCGACAGTATCTAGAATGTAACTACATGTGGTTGAATCACGTATACACAGCTTTATCATACGTTTGCTCCCCTGTGTGACCTGAAAGCATTTCTCGACTTTGCCGCATGGGATCACATGTCCTTACAACTTGCTTGATTGATGGTATTGTCTTTCCGCAAGAGCATCAGCGCTTATCTGTGTTTTAGTTAACATGATGCCTCAGTTTTTTGATCTAGCAAATGTTGGGTTCCCCTCCGTCGATATAGCAGTGAGGGCGGGAGAGGGGGAGTGGATAGCATATACAGTAAGTTGACATATACGTAACATACGTGTATATATATATATGATATACACATATACATACACAGACATAAGTAACGCACAGAGAAAGAGCGACAGAGAAAGGGAGAGAGAGAAATACAAAGCAGGACTGATAGCTGATCAGAGACTTCCCGTAAGGTTCCGCTAAGGCCTTATTGCCCGAGGTCGTTTTTGTTCTCAGGTTTTGTGAGTCCTTCCCGGGGTGCCCAAATCCTCAGGGCAAGTCTTTTCACAATCGATGTGTAAGTGAGCACAACCTAGAGCAAGGGGGTTATGAGATGGCGCTGCCAACTCATGAAGTTCTACATGCTTCTGTGTTGACTCTTTGTCTTCTATGTTTGAACAGCCATCGTAGCCCCGATCCCTCGTAAATCTAGACACGTGAAGTGCTCCGACATCCTATACTGCATTGATGCCGAGAAAGCTCTTGAAGCATTTTGTTGCATCAGTGTTGCGTCCTTCAACTTTATATCGTCTCAACTGTGGCTGACCTTTACGCTGAGAGCATCTGTTCATACTGAAGCCATATTGAAAAGCGCGTGCTCCCCCAAGAGCTTTCACGTGTCTTGAACTCCCCACTCTGGAACTCTTGGGCCCTGAGCTGGTTTGTCCTTCCCCACTAGCTCTATGTGTATCCCCTTTCCCTCCGCGTGGAGCACACAACCATATGCATACGTATATATATATATATATATATATATATATATATGTAACATGTATACATACGTATCTACACACATATTTACATCTGCACGTGTGCATATGCATATGTGTACGCACCAATGTTTCCGCTCGCATCCTCCGGAACCCCAGATGTACCATTGACCCCTGCGTTCTCACCCAGGCGATGGCGCGGCTTCTTGGTGTGGCCGGGGCTGCTGCGCGGGCACCACGCTGGTCCTGTCCGCGCGGTCGAAGCTCGGTAATCACTAATCTTCTCAAGACATGGGTGTCACACGACCGTAATGCCTACCAGGCTCGTCTGTATGATGAGTAGTGGGTTTTAGGTGTCAAACATAGCTGCGGAGATTATGGTATGTACGAACCGTAACAATTCCCATCAGTATATATTCCAATGTGCTGATCTGCCATCAAGACAACAGCCTCAACATGCATGCAAAGCGATAGCCAAAGCTCGAGTAGTAGTTGTAGAGCTGAAGAGACGGTCAGACTTCTGCCAAGGCACGCATACAAGCTAGGCAGCGCGAGAGCAAACCACAGAGTGTCATTAAACATGGTAAGTAAAAGTATCTGGCTCAACTACTTCTAGGGTGCACGAGAAACTCTTTCGCATGCTCTCAGTTCCAAGGCCAGCTTTTCCTCGAGCTGCTCGGAATTGCTTTCTGCGCACTGGGTGCTGCTCTCGCGGCGGTGGGGCTGGGAGAGGAGACGCATTCTCGGTTTCGAGGTTCGCAACAGCTGTGTTGAGTTCTGGGATGAGCACTATAGGGTGCCAGCAGTCTAGCGTGATTGTCAGAGCTGTCTGGTCGAAAGGACCGATCACTGGAAGAGTGACTGTGTTGAAACTTTCAGCCTGAAACCTAGGCCCAACGGCTCTGCAACCAGGCTCTAAACATCCGTCTTTCTCTCGCACTGGGCTATTTCGTGTCTCGTCGTTTCGGCACGGGCAAGCTCGACTTCCGCCAGGAGAATGACAGCTGGGCAGGACTCCAAGAGATCGCTGCTGTCTTTTTGCGCAGACAGGAGCTTGCTGGTAAGCAGGATACCACCAGCACGATCTGCAGCCAGAAGACTTCTCCCTCATGCAGCCTTCTAGTTCTACAACCAGGTGATGAGCCTCATTTTGGCGAGCGCTGCGCAATTCCGGCAGCCAGGAAGGCTGTGAGACATAAGGGCATAAAGCTTCTGTGTGACGCCACGCGACTTGTATTTCTAGTGCTTGCCAAAAAACAGTGTGTGTCTGTCTGTCTGTCTGTGTGTGTGTGTGTGTGTTTGTGATGCGGGGGGTTTGGGGGGGAGGTATGTATACACAGAGAGATTGAGAGAGACGGAGAGAGCCTGTGGTGCGGTTTGTCTGCTGACTACCCATCATCTCCATGGGTTTTGTTTGGAAACTTCGGGAACCAGTAGCTACTGCCTTTAGGGTTTGGAGTTTGCGACCGATCATGGCCTCGAAGGGTTCGAATTAAATTCCAGGGTTTGCGCTTCACCACATTGCAAAGCCAGCGCTGGGTGTAGAGAGGAGCAGGAGGATGGGATCTTAGGATGAAATCGGCTTCGGAGTTGGCATGATCACGTGCGAATGTGCAGGATTTACCTTCATTCCGGCAGGTTGAACTTCAATCCGGACACGGATCTTTGATATGATCTCGCGGGATGAGGGCTGCCATTGACCATGAAATCCAACCTTGTTCAAGTGGAGCGGAAGGGCGGGTAGATTATGGTTCGTATGCTTACCGCGCATCTTATGGACATTGTGCATATTACCTACGTTCTGGGTGTGATGTGTACTATGAGTACCATGTATATTATGTGCATTAAGTATACCCATATATATCTATATAGACATATGCATGTATGTGCATATATATATATATATATATATATATATATGTATTGTTTTTAGTAGTGTTGTTATTCTGAGGGCCCATCTGCCCGAGTGCAAGCATGTCTGCGACCCTCCCGTGTAAATGCTCACTGTTTATGCATTCAACAACATGACATTCAGGCACAGGTTTAAGGGCATACATACCAGTTTCAGATGTTGATATGTGTGCTCTTGATTGTATGCATGGTAACAGAGTTGTTTTGTTGTTGTACTTTAAGTCTCTGTGCCTGTACATACTGTACACATGCATATACGTGCATTTATATGAGTTCATACGCATGTACATGTCTATGTATATGTATATGTATGTTACAATGTATACGTACATACACACATGTACATGTACTGTCGACATATTGCTGTGGTGCACATGTACATGCACCGTCGACATATTGCTGCGGTGGTCAGATCGCAACATGTACAACACCACGTTAACATCATGTCAGGGCATGCTATGACAACTGTGCCTCAACAGTGATGCAGCTGCATAAAGTAATTCACTTGTGTTGCGACAGAAAGCACAGCAACTGGTCTTGAGGGTTCAGTTTCTCTCCCAGTGTGTGCACACGATGCGTTTGTCAGGTCTGTTGCTAGGTGCACAAGACTCTGTGTTTCAGCATTCTTTGGTTGGATATTGCCAGGCACGGACTCCAATGGAACAGCTTTCCGTTGCAGGGTATCCACCGACGAGCCCGGTCCTCAGAGTCCTCGTTCCAGACTAATGCCTTTCACATGCATTTATCGCCGCGCAGCCTTTCGCTATACAGTGACTGAGGTCCGCGCTGGCATTGTCGGGTTTCGCAGCCACGCTTGGAATCACTTTCTCCGCCCAAAACCCGAACCCAACACTCAGGAGTGTGAAGTTGGCCGTTCGACCCTGTGCTGCAGCAGCCGCTTGCAAGCTAAATGTCTATGCGCGCAAGCTGCATCCGGCAGGTGCACCCGTCCAATCGGCGGTTCCGCGCTCCCGCAGTGCGAATGTTTTACTTAGATCGCGATCTCGCCACTCCCGCGCCGCCCGCGTCCCCCGGAAATGCTGAGTGAATACATGGTTCCATGTGTTGCATATTTTCTGCCAAAGTGCATTAACATGCTCGCGATGGAGCGGTCTTGGGATGTCGCCTCGTTGTGGTCTTCCCGTCATCTTCGTTGTGGTCTCATTGCATTGTGTGGGGCCATGCTGGCAGTCAAGCTCATAAGGAGACAGGTCGACATCCAGCACTTGTCTGTGCTCCATGCAGTCGGCCTACAATAGTTTACGTAGGGTTAGTACAGCTAGGAAATGTGCACCAGGAATTCGGCCTTTATGTTGCTGCTCACTTGCACTGCTTGTTACCGTCTGGTAGGTTTTTGTAACTTTTTACATGCAGGGCTGTGGACCGAACCCGAACTCTCCGCAGTCTGTCCAGTATGACACGACTGAATGTTAAGCTCCGCTGAACTGGCAAATCGTCATGCCCACCCCCTGAAGCTGAACGCCGGAGTCTCCAAAATGGTAGCCTGAGACTTGCTGCAGGCATCTCATCTTCGCGTGTTCAATTCATCTTCGCTCAATCCTGAGCCTCACTCCCCGAAGTCTGCCGCGAGCATAAGCCAAAAGCCAACTCACCAAGCCTTTACACTCTTAAACGTGCCACCTGTCCAACACCCGAGGCTTCTCTAGGCTGCTGAGTCAGCTGCAGCTTGACCCTGCATGGTTACACGTCTATGCAGAAACTGCCAGGCTCTTGGCCTCCAGCTTTGCTTGGTCCTTCGCGTGTTTACTGCTAGGATGGCTGCCAGGAGCCCAGTTTGATTTGAGGCCTACGCACTGAGATGCAAGTTTTGGAACACTAGGGCCTCGACCTTCTTAAGCCCCAAACCCTAGGCCGACCTGAATGGTGTGGGTCGCGGCTCTGATCTAAATCCTCATTGAACAGGTAACCTCAAACCGTCCGAATAATTATGTGTGTTGAGAAGATGAAGGGATCAACATACTGATTCCCAGTTGTGAATAGGTATCCCAGGCGTTTCATATGCAAACTGACGAAGATTCACCATGTCGAGGCTCCTTCAGTTCGCAAAGGACGTGATTCAGTTTCTAACGTATCGTGACCACAACGCCTGTCGATGTCGACCATGCAAAACATCCTTAGCTTCAGCTGTACAGCGTGTGCCCTTCCACCCCTTAGTTGGCTTTAACAGCAAAAAGAATCCGATCACAATCTCTGCACAGACCCCAACTCCACTCAGGGCCACGATTGTCACCACATGCATCGGCAGTGTGGGCCTGTTTCGCTGGCGCATCAGCATCAAAATTGTTTGGATAGTTGGCCTCCTTCTGGTTGTCCGGGTAGTAGATGGATTGTTCGTGGGTCTTTCCTTAAGAATAACATCACGAGCATTTTGTACATCCTGGCCATGTCTTTTGGCGAACTTTCGCGTTTTCAAGATTCTCCCAACGCAGTCGCGCTAGAGTGAGAACAGTTCACTCGTGAGCCCCGTGAGGCTCTTCAGGTTTGTACATCATCGTATGCGGTGGATGGCTCTCGGATGAGTATGATGTGGATGCTCGGGTTGTGTAGCGGAGTTCAACCGCGAGTGCTCGCTCGTCTACAGAGTCTACAGAAGCAGTTGCTTTGCGTGAAGTGGCCAAGGTTCTTTGGGAGCAGTGCCTGCGGAGCCCTGGGCACCTGGCTGATCACCGGAGCATTCGTCCGCTCCTCGAGGTATATAATTCTGCAACGAATGGCAACGTGCAGACTTCCAGTTGCACCACAGGTGCAGATTTAAGGTGTAGTAGCATTCAGCATTCAGCAGGACATGTTCAAGCCTTGGAATCCCTTCCCCCTAACAGAATCGCCCCATAACAACTGCCGGCCCCCGGAATTTCGCGGTTTCGGGCCCACAATTGAAAGTTAATGAAAAACATGAGGAGGGAACTGGGACTGTGTTCGTTCCAACAGCAGTACTAATCAAACCGGAAGGACCTGTCTGATGAAGGGCAGCGAAAAACCCTGGCAACACAGTAGTCGTTACACTGCAAGTCTGCAGCATCTCAGGTGTTCAGTTCGGTTGAGCTTCAAGGCATCCTCATGCAGGACAACGAGCAAGAGCAGGGCAGCCACTTCATGGGCTGCACATACTGTCGCATTTCCGAGCTGACCGGTGTTGCCATGTATAACTTAGTAATATAATCCAGGCCTCTACACGGCAAGCTGCACGCCTTGCGCTCGACCTAGCACTGCATTTGGAACATTCATGCCAACTTGAGAATCGCGATGATTGCCAATAGCAATCCCATCTGTCGTCTTAGTCTCCAAGACCACCCCGCAAAAACTCCAACGACGACGAATACTGTCCCGTGATTCTTCATCTTTATACTCACGATTGTTTCGCTTCGTCTTCTGCACCATCATCGTCATCGCCTTCATCGAATCAAATCATCGTCGTCATCGTTTTTGTAATGTCAAATTCGCGACATCATTCTCGCGCCCAGAATTGACACCGTACTTACGACAAGACCTTTCCAGAAGACCGTGCTGTCAGTCACACGACTTGATGTACCCCTTACCGCTGTGTCAGTGAACTATTCTGCCTTCACACCAGTCTAGCAAGGCACCGCTCGGGCAGTATCACGCTGCCCGCCATCAGATCTCCATACTGGTATACCAGCACCGTGCACCTCTACTCCCATACCGCATCACCATTGCAATGTCATTGCATGTCCATTTCGTTCCCACTTCGCTGTGATGTCATGCCGTGATGCCGAACATCGTTTCTCAGAAGAGCTTGTTCAATGTTATGTCACTACAGTCTACATTTGTCTTTTCGATCTTGTAGTCGTAGTGGCATAAAGCACCATGGCATTTGGCGTCACCATCGTCACCACTACGCCAGCGAATATAGCCATCGCAATTACAAACATGACAAGCCCACTATGCTGATCACAATGATCCTCAGCAGTTGTTTTCGCAGTCAGCATGTGGAGCAGATCAGGTGCAACAAGCAAGTTCCCGGAATTCCGTGTTTCAACTTCAGCTACACAAATCTGCGAACCCGTGTCCTGCCTGACCCGAATCATTCGTATGAGGATTGCACGTCCGTCGTGCTGGCCCGCGGGCCCCTCCCCACGCAGGAGCTTTTGGAGGCAGAGCTTAGGGCTTAGACGAAGCAACGTCCTCAGGGGAGAACAGGCTTACCTAGCAGCGAACGTGGTTCCACCAATGTACTGTGATATAGTTTCTACAAGTGAAACCATTCTTGTTTGAATCCAAGTTTTCTCAGACGCGATGGTGCCTCCACCCAGCGGCTCAGCAGGGTAGTTCCAGGTCCGAGGATCGAGTCTTTGCTTTCAGTCCCTTCAGCTGTCAGCTTTAAGGACTCTCGAATGTTTCCAGGGCCTTGTAGGCATCACAAGCAGTATGCCAGACAGGGCGACTAATTATACCTGCATCTTTACATTGTAGCCGGCCACCAGCTTGAACGGTTTGGTGCCGGAGTGCCGATTCAACTTGTATCTAGGAGCGATGACAGGACAGACCTCTGAATTGGAAGTTGAAGTGGGTCAGGAACTTTTCGCGCCATGTCGTTGGCGAAGTATGGTGCCGTTTGCAACATCCCGCGCGAGCAGCGGTTTCAGGCAAGTGCTCGTCGCGGTACTCTTGAATAATTCTGCGGTAGTCTGGGCCTTGCTGGTCTGCATGCAATATCACCGGTTCATGCGACGAGATCGGGTAATTGTTCGCAGCCGCAGGTCACTCCTGACGAGCTTCTTGTGGGCTTAGGCCTCGGGCAGCACGCCACGGTGGAGCTTCATGGCTTGAAAAAGGCGGAGTTAAACAGCAAGCAAGGCACGGTGGTAGGTTACAATCCCGAAACCCAGCGGTGGACAGTTCGGTTGCATGATGACCATTCAGAAGTCGCCCTTCTGAGCACCAAGCTGGTGGTCGAGAGGGCCGCACGTACCGGAACCTTCCGTCTCGAGACGTTGCTCATTGATGTGCGAGACAACGAGGATTTCGTGAATTACCACATCCCGGGTGCCATCAACATCCCGTACAGCAAGATGTTCATGGATCAGCAACGGACGCTTTCCAAGCTGAAAGAATGGAATCTCGCAACGACCCGGATTGTCACATATGCGACACATGACAGCAAGTTCATCCACACCACAGTCGGTCGAGACCTGTCTGCCTCGAACTGGCTCTGGGAGATTCTCGGGCATCACGGACGCAGTCGGCCTGTGTTTGTTCATCATCTATCGCGGAAGTTGGCCTTTAGGAAGGTGATTGGGCTGTATTCCGACGTTGCTTAGGTGAATTTTGTTGAGTGGGGTTGGTCTGGAGCCCAAGTCCAGAACATGTGACCGTGATCCAACTGCCTGTCAGGCATCCGCTTACAATGCTTGCCACCCTCAGTGGTGGCTTTGCTGGCTGGGTCAAGGCCCACCAGTTACGAAGGAAAGCTGAAACCTCAAACTGTTCGGAGATCAGATCATGTTGAAAAGATCACCGTCTGTGAAATATGTCCCGACCTCTCTGGTTCACAGCTCTTCAGTCAGCGAGGTTGCACGCCCTTCAATTCCCACAGAGCCTAAACCCTGGAATGATGAACCTGGATTTACAAAAGACACACACACACACTCTCACCCCCTGGCTTTGTGAATTGGGGCTTGTGATCCTTGATCAGGAGGGTCGCCCCGTGGAGGCAGGGCAGCTTGGTCCTGTTGCAAGCATCCTTTTTAATCTAGGGCACACGTTTGCAGAAGTCCTCTTCGGCATTAGTGAGGGTGCATGGTCACTCTCCTCGTCGTGCTGGCAGTAGCATTGCTAGTATTACCAGGTAGGAGCCAGGGGAGTGACCGTTGTTCACCCCGTGATCTGAGTTGGTGTGTTTCGTCTCCAAACCTCCAAGAGCGAAAGGCCGAAAACCTCAAAGCACAGCTAAGCTAGAAGTCCGCAAACCTTAGGTTGCAGACACAATCACTTTAAGATCTTTGCAGCGTCTAAGGTCCATGTCCGAGGGCGGACCGAGGCCCCGACTCTTTGGGGTTCCGGGCTTGTGAATGAATTTGTTAAAGCAGCGTTGCGGACAAGTGCACAACCGTTGACGTGAGCCGTTACATGTTTAAGTCCAATACCTTGAAACACTTACAACCAGCCAGTTCGACGGTCTGCAAACTGTGGCGCCCTAGTCGCATACTGAACCATGGAACCATGCAGGGAACAAGCCACTAATCATTAGATCCTAGAACAAGTCAGCTCGGAACTAGATTAAGTAATGTAACCGTGACTACGGTTGGTTTGGGCTCAATGAACACCAGCAGTCCATTGAGTGGCTCTAGTCTAAACGGCCTAACTATGTGATAGGATTGGGATCCTGGAACCACAATCATTAACGCGTCAGTCCACTACGCCGATAATCAGTTAATCCTCTCGATATGACGCGATGACAGGTCTGCGACCCCGTTACTGTAGCCCCTAAACCATCAAGCCGTTAATCATTGAGCCCGGAGAGCACTAGAATCATCGATCTGGCCCTGTGACGGGTTCGATGCCCCAATCAGACGTAGGGTGAAACGAGCAGAAATAGAAATACCACCATGGCAAGGTATATATGGATGACTGAAGGCAGGACCTCTGTCGAAACAAGCCCAAGCTTCGAAACATCTCTGGAGACAAGCGTTAGGGGGGTCAGACCTGAGTATCCAAATGCATGCTGTGCTGAACCCCGTTCTAGCGACCTCGCAGAGTCGGTTGGCCCTGCATAACTTGCGCTATACCTCACGGTTTTTTCTCGCAAAAGCTTCCTCTCGCCCCAACCAGCTTTGCAAGTGCAAGAATGTACAGATAGACGAACAGTATATATTCAAACATGTGTTCGTCTATACATAAAAACGTGTATATATACATATATATATATATGGGCGCGTGGTCATTCCCCCCCCCCCCCCCAACATTTCAGCATCTTCGGTATTGCGCCCAATGCGCATGGTTATCCCCCGCCGCACGTTTTCGCATCTTCCTAAGGAGACAGCGAATCGTCATCTCTAAGGCTCTACGGAGGTGTTTTTCAGCAAGCTTTTGGAGAATCGCAAGTTCTAGGGCTGCGGTTTGTGGCAAGGCATTGGGGAATTGCAGTTTGCTAACAGGTAATTGCAATCTGTGCGGAAACTTACACATTGCATCAAGTAGGACTGGAAAAACTTTAAAACTAGTAAAACTAAACGTTTCAGTATAAGTAGGAAAGGATGGTGCAATACCCTGACAAAATATTATACAGCACAACAGTGATTGGTATGACATTAGAGTATTCATGTGATACGATTAAGCCGGATCAGGCAACATAAGGCCGAACACTTGATCGAAGTATGGTAGAAACCCCTATATTTCAATACTTTTAGAGTGTCACAATACAGTATGTCGCTTTATTTTATACGTTTTTCTCGGCAGAATAACATAATCTGACCAATCCTGCTTTAAACTGGTATAGTATCGTACAGAGTATAGTACCATATAGCACATTCCAGGATAAGGCATAATATGCTCCAACGCAACATGATGTGATCTGGCATGGTGCAGTAAGCATGTGGATTTGATGCAATATGCAAAGGTAAGATGGTTAGAAACCAGGTGTATACTCTGTATGACACAATACAGTGACATATCATCAGATATAACATGGTATGTCTGAACCTACTAGTGGACAATCTGAAAATGTCGAATCAGTATGAAAGATGCCAAGATATTAAACATAAACTACAGTATTGTGAGATGGTATGATGCGATATAAGATAAGATGATATAATATCTAACCATGCTTTTGTTAACGTGTTTGGTGTGTTCATAGATCGTATGATCCATTATGGCATATGTCTGGCCAAAGATATCTAATGTAGCATTTCAGACAGAATAACAACACAATGTTTGCAAGAGTATATCCGCAGAGCAAAATATGCAACACAGCATAATCGAGCATAATTTCGTTTGCATACGTAGTATGCTAGCCAACATGCACGTTGTAACGGCATTTCACACATGACACTGGTAGAGTATGGCACTGATTTGTAGAGCAGAGTATAGTAAAGTGTACTGTTTTTTTGTAGTGTATAACCTAGCATACAGTACAGTAGACATACAAGTACATAGCAGTGTATATAATATAGTATGTAGTATAAAATGTAACATGACATGTCGTGTAACGTGTAGCCAGTAGTAGGATAGGGGGAAAAGCATATATTGAATAACATGCAGGAAAAGACAACATAGTTCAATGTGATAGTGAAGTATAGCATGAATCCAGGACCCTGCTGGCTTTGAGTGCTTTGACTCTTGACGACCTTGGTGAACCGAACTAGGCATCAATGTGTCGTGCTGTCTGTTCTCACACTCGTAACGCCAGAGGCCTGACCATACATACAGATCGCTCTATGAAACAACTGTTGTTTTACGTACTGTTTGACCTGCAGCAGGGTACAGGCAGGCATGCGTTTCGAAACACGCGCCTAGCACACAAAAAGAGTTCCATTAATGAAAACGATTTGCGTCTGTTTGATATTTGCCGTTGCCCCAATCATGGCCCGTGGACTTCAAGGATGACAAAAGCATCTGTATTGTATATGGCGCCCGCGCCCGCGCCCCCGTGTATGCTCATGCCGGACTTGCTGTCGGATTTGCGTGTATGTGCATGCATGTGTGCATATACACTATGTCTCCCAGGTTCCTTATAACATATTTAATTACGCACCCAAAAGGGACCCTTTTTGTGTATTCCTGGCTTAGTGGGGGCCCCTTGTACGAGAAACCAACATAATAAGCATGATGGTTAGTTGATAGCTGAAACCCAAAACATCAATCCTATGACCCCGTTGTTTTCATTCGCCGTTATGTCAATGATGACCTGAATATTCCTTTCTGACAGCAGCCCTAAGACCATCCATAGTAGCCTCAGTACCCACAGTCTGACCCCGATGTTCTCCTTTTTAGTGTACAACCTTCGATCAGAGCTGGAAGACATCGTAGTGGTAAGATAAGCTCCTCATTGACCCCAAAACCGATCCGAATAATGGCCCGGCTATTGCCCAGTACATTATATAGTATTAACGCTAACCGGGTTCGAACCCCAACAAAATGGTACTGGAGCTTTATTGGAACCTCTAATGCGTAGCGAGCACGAAAAAATCTGAAATAAAAACTTTCTGCTAGGAAAAACAAGTTTCGGAGCGAAGTACAGACGTTTCGTTGGTTTCGGAAAGGAAAGGAACAAACTTGCTTTGGACCGAAAACCTATTTGTTCTTAGGACAACAACAACATGTCTTTAAACTATACGGCCAAAGTCCAACAAGATATGCTTTCATTTTCGTTGGAAAATGTGTTGTTTTGTGGAGAAAAAATTTTCCGTAGGCAAAAGATGGATGTGGTTTGCAAAGCAGTCTCTTTCCTGGAAGAAAGGTGCTTTTGGGTGGAAAAGCCAATTGTTTTCCTAGGAAGAAGATGGTATTGGATTGGAAAGCCAAATTTTTATCTAGGAAAAAGATGGTCTTAGTGTTAAAAGATATCTTTCTTAGTGAAAGGTGGTTTGATATGAAAAATTGAACTTTCTCTCTAGGAAAAATAACATTTTTGGACATTGGCTCTGCAGTTTCCCCCCATGTTTCCTAGGAAAACATTCATTTTGCAGTACAAAACCATCGTTCCTAAGAAAAGTTTGTTTCTCAGCCCAAACCGCATTTTCTTAAGAAAAACCCAAAAGAAGCCTTTTGAGAGCTTGCCTGTACAGTTTCCCCACAAAAAGCAGTCTTTTTTTCTTGGTTTTCCTGAAGGGACAGTTGGTTGTCGATTGGAAGAGCACATTGCGGCAGTTGAAACGAGTTGTCTGGTGCGTTCTCCTGAAATGTGGGTTTGGTTTGGTTGTCTTGGAAGGAACCCGGACCTGCCAAACCTGGTTTGACACGGTATCTACGGTACAAAACGAGGGTCGGCAGTTCATGGGGGTTCCCATATAAACGAAACGAGTGAAAGGTGTATAATGGTTTGGAGATGTTTGGAGCCCGAACCAGAATCTGGAGGAGAATGAATGTCGGCGAGATAACTAGCCATGGTGGTAAATGAAGGATGATGACTGTGGTGTGGTCAGTGCCAGATGGCGTTGTATAGTGTATTTTGCGTTTTATAGTGTATTTTGCCGAGCATCACACATGCGCCCAATTCGTCAGTGCCACGCAGCTTGCTTATATGTGATGTTACTCATGTCGTGCCACGGTGAAGATTGCGACCAGACCGCCAAGTCCGCGGAGTCATATAAACGTTCTGTTTCACATGTTCCGTGCGTTTACAGACCACGGGCTCACTGTTGAAGATACCCTTTTCGGCCCGGGCCCGACGGCCATGGAGGTTAAAAAACGTCGCCGACAGTACATGCTGCTTTGCATACTCGCACTCCATACCAAAGGAGTGTGTATACATATGTATATATGTATACATAAAAACCACTTACACACACATACACACACACATGCACATTTGCCTTTCTAGTTATGTATGTACACACACGGGTTAGTACAGACATGACCCGAATGCTCCATGCTCCAGGACACATACGATTTGCGCTAGCGTGAGCATGTATGCATATCACACACACAGAGGTACGTAAATGCGTCTGCGCACATGCCGTCATACTCGTACTGTCTTCCGTTTGTTTTGTCTTACGTTTTTTGAATCACGGCACTGACTGGGGGGTGGTTTGTCGGGTCCATGTTCGTGTGAATGGGCCATGGAGTTTGGTGACGTTTGGCGGAGAATGACATGGTTCGAGCTCGGTTGCGCTGAATGTCTTTATCGAAATCTTACTGCTTGTAGGCACTTCTAAGTCACCGCATTCCGGCACCCGGGAGGCCAGTGACTGCATGGCTTTGGTGAAGACTTGCTTTCGAACCACTCGTGCATTACATTGTGCAATCAGTGTAGAAGAAGGTGCTGCTTACTTGCAATACATGTGCAGAAGTCCGCACGAGGTTGTAAAGCCGTCGAGAGCGATGCCTGCTCAGTTGCCTCCATAAGTTGGAGTATCATCGGTTCGTATCGGGTCCTTTGTAGCAAATCTCCGGTGCTACATTATGTGAGGGTGTTGTGCAATTCAGCAGCCTTGGTTCGTGACTCCTTGCAGGAAAATCTTTGTGAGCGAGGACGTCCCCAAAGCCTTTTCCGGAGACAGAGATGCATATCTAAGAGCTTCCGAGAAAGAGGCAGCAGGTCATGCAAAGCCGGTTTCAGACATCGAAGAGCTTCGGAAGCACGCTGACTCAAGCGCCATCGGCGAGGCCCTCCGGCATGCGCTTGAGGTTGTTTGCTTGCTTCTTGGTTGTCAAAGTTTGTTTTTGGAGCGGCTCAATATGATATGATGCCGCAGGAGCCAGCGCGGAAGACAGCAGTCAAAGCTGCAAGCGAGGGGCAAGAAGGACCGTCAATGTGGGAGGTGGTTGGTGGCGCGGACAAGGGTGGCATCGTTGTCCGTAAGAGCCGGGACACTGCATCAGAGCAGGAGCCACAACGACTAGCAACCGGTGCTTTGATTGAACAGCGGCAGCTGGTCGGAGAGCGCTTGCACTACGTACTTCACACAGGTGAAGGGCCTATCGAGGGGTGGGTGAGCATCCGACTGAAGACCAAGGACCTGGTAGTGAAAACATCACGCTGTTCAGCGGCAGAGGCCAACACGAGAGCACCGCCAGGTTGAGAAGGTGCCTCAGAGTCGCCACCAACAGTGGTAAGGGCAGTGATCCGGCTTCTGCTTTCCATGGCGTGGCCTCGATGACGACTAAGCTGCTGACGCCTACGTCCTACGTGATTTGTGTTTGGTGGTCTCTTGGCGGCGCCCGGGCGAGTGATCGCATGAACTTCGAGAGAAGGTCTGCACCGGAGAGTCGAAGACACTCCTCTCTTGTGCATTACAGTTACGGCTGGTTTTTCTTGGACTTAGCCGAGAGTCTCAGAGTTTGAGGATTGTAATTTCCCATGTCTGTGCTACGCAGAGTGTGATCTGAGCACGGGCCCATAAGTCAATGAGCCGTGTGACCATGGAGTGACTCAAGACTCAAATCAGATGAAGAGTGGATACGAGCCGGACGGCTCTCGCCCTACTGATCCGCCTCATGCTATTATATGCTATTATACTGTTATGCTTCACTTTGAGTAACCCCTACCTTCACGGTTGGCACCACCTGTTACGCTGCCGTTCGGAGATCTTGAGAGGTGAGGGTACAGGCATGTACTGGCTTCGGAGATTAGGATTCCCGGAAGTTAGAAATTTCGTCGTCGTAGCCCGTTGTACACCCGCAACCTATGCAAAGTGCTCCGTTCCTGCTCCCAACCCATGACTCCCAACATCGGCGACCCTGAAAACCGAGCACCAAAGCCGAAAATGATTAAGCATGCTGCTATACAGCATACGCGTATGAAAGCCCGTAGGCCTACATCCTTGAGCCTAAGCTCCGTGCAAGGCACTCTGCCATCCTTTAGGAAATCATGGCCCGGGGCTGGCCAGGCGAGGGTGCAGACAAATTGGTGTTTTCGTCCGGTTTAGAGCTTCGAAATCTTAGTGTCCAGGTTGCCAGTTTCCTAAACCTGGAACCCTCAAACCCAAACCCGCTAGGGAAGGGTTTGTGACGGTTTGTGTTGGTCTCGCAAGATTTGAAGCACTTGCGCCTGTAGTCAAATTCTTTTGCGTTTGTGTGCAAAGCTCTCCTGCATTTGCGCTTTGCATTCTGCTTCATGCTATTCATGGCTTCGGCCGCCGTTGTGCATTGACGTTTCCTGGATTTCTTATGCGCAGGCCGTGTCATCGTTCACTCTGCTTAAACATATGTTGCCGTAGCTATATTGAGCATGTAATACCGTGGCATGCTACACTTCAACTATATGCGTATTCGCCGTCAGCAGTGATTACAACCTCAGCCCCACGCACGGCCTTGCATATGTGTTTGTCATGCAGTGCAGGTTTCTTCGGCAGGTTCCTAGCACATCCTAGCACTTGGATCCAAACCTTGCTGACCCAAGAATAATTCATATCAGTTTCTGTTTGCAAGTTTTAACCGTCACATGCATGTTTGAGAAGAGCAGAACTTTCGCAAGCGACAGCGGCGTGAGCCGATTCAAGGGGAGAGGGGGGCGAGCCGCTCAAAGGCGATGCAGTTCCGCTCCTTCAACTTCTTTGGTCCTTCTCAAGCACCTTTCGCCAATCTAAACGTTCGTAGTCCTTTGGAACGGTGCGCCTCTCCAGTTTCCCAAAGGCTTAATTCCTGACTTTCGATCGGCCTGCCACTCTTTGTCAAGTGTCCATCTCCTCGGTCTCTTTCGAGCGGCTTGCTGCTCTCAAGCTCCGGATATTCCGACTTCGGAGGATCTAGAATCTAGGCTGCCGGAGACTGGTATAGTTCTTTCTTATAGGCAACGAAGGTTCAATACGTTGGCTCTCTTAATCAAGCGCTGAGCCTGTCGGGCTTTACGTTGGGTGTTTTGTAAAGATGTAAAGCTGGATTCCGACACATTCGAGATATCTTTACAAACATGTGTCGTCTATGTTGTTTCGCGTTTCTTTGTCTGCCTGTTCGTCTACCTATATATCTATCGTTGTTGATGTCCATGCTTACATCCGTCTATGTTTCTTTCATGCGTATCTTGCGTTTACCCAAATATGCAGTCGGGCGAACCTGGAGCGAGAGGGGTGCTACTTGGAAGACAGGGCTTCCTGCTATGTGGCGAAGGGACCCACTTCCAAGATCACTGTTGGTGGACTACAAGTGGAATAGTGCTCAACAAGATATTTCTTGTTTGTTACGATCGGTGCGCAAATGTTCTACCTCTCAGTTCTAGAGCTTTCAAACAGTCATCGGGAATCAAGACGGGCGTCAATTCGAGCTTGCAAAGCAGGTGGGCGGCCCTGACCAGTCTGGCTCAGGCTGTAGCCTTTGAACACAAGGCACTCCTGTCAGTTTTGCATGGCTTGGGGTCACTGAGTGTAACTACTATACGAGCAAGAACGTGTGATGCCGCTTGATTCAAATCGAAGTAGCAGCTAGCATGACCCTCTTTTCGCTCCGTTGAGCATGGGATCCTGTGCTGCAGAAGTGCAGGAGTGGTACTCCCATGGAGCAAGTTGGGTCACACGAGACAGAAAGGCCACGCCACCACACTGCGGCCGGAGCAGGAGTGGCACGATGTGGCACGCCAAAACACGCACAGCACACTCGAGCGACTAGCGAGCAGAAGTCCCAGCCTGGCCGGAGCACGACAGTGTCAGCTGGGAAGGCCATAGCTGCGCCGGCCTGTCAACATGCGGAAATGCACAGACACGTTGATGATCCTTGCAAGAGTTCTGCCCTTCAACCTGCAGAAACCCAGGCTATCCCAGGCTGCACCTTCTGTTCCACATGCCTGCAGCAGTGCCAAGAGAGAAAGCCCGGAATCTGACATGAGTAGTCCTCGCCAATGTGAGCCCGTAGAGCACGATCCTTGCCAGGGCCATCGCTTCCAGTCGCAGCTCTACAGCTCCCCACAGGTGCCGCTGCTGGCTGCAGAGGCCCGCGCTGGCAACGGTCAGGTGTGCACGAGTGAGGCCTGTGGGATGATTGGTTTTGCATCTGGTCTGCTTCTTGTCAAGACTCTAACGTGTGCCGGTGGTGGTAGTGGTGGTGGCGGCAGAAAGACACGCAGAGCGCAAGTACTGACGTCATCGCCATCGCCATCAGCATGTACTCATATCAGCAGTATCCTGACAAAATCGGTGGCGGTGTTGCCAACGCTCATGCTTGGATTCATGTGGGCCTGAGGTCGTAGATGATGCTTGCTGCATGATGATGATGATGGTGATGCTGAGGATGATGGTGAGGGTCACGGTGACGGTCACGATGTTAGTGATGTTGCCCTTGATCATGATGACGACGATGATGATGTTGATGGCGATGATGATGGTGATGGTGACGAAGACGATGATGATGACAAAACAGGAAGGCAAATCGTAATAAGAAAAAGACGAACCTGTTGCTGCTGCTGATGATGGCGAGCATGATGATGGTTTTTACGACGACGACGACGATGAAGTTGTTGGTGACGGCAATGGTGATCGCACGACGTGGCTTTTGAAGCATGACGGACGGGTTTTGAACATAATTGAACAGATTCTCGCTGCTGATGTTATGGCTGTCCTTACGTGGAAACATGTGCTGCTTGAGCAGCGACGACATTGCCGACCTTGCAGGTCTTCGGCTTCTCGGGTTTCCGACTCAGTGTTCTGCATCCTGTCCAGGGTTCGCATGGCACCACATCCAAGGTTTTGGGGTAGGGCTGCTGCAGAACGTCTCCAGGTTCCGGATATTTCGTCCCGAGCTCCGAAACTGTGTTTCGTGTCCGAAACTCTGTACAATGGTTTAAGTACAAGGTCAAAGCCAAAGCTAATTTTGGTTTTTAAACATGCAGCGTTGATGCGCTCTAAGGCTCGTAAAACGGATTCCTCGAGATTGCATCTTGTTTTATGGTCACATGCCTGAACCAAATCCCTCACGGCCAGCTCCGGATCATCGGATCGGTGCCTCAGGTGTTGTCATGCCGTCTCCCACGAGCTCCACGCCTTGGACTGCGCCTGCAAAGCCGCTGAAGGTAGGACGGCTACAATCTTTGTGCAGACATGGATCGAGCATGCAGGCCCCCGTCGCAGAGAACCGTGGGCTCTTCGCCGTTTACCTGCAGAGTGCTCTGCAGGCGCTGCCACTGCAAATGTAGGATTTGCACGTCTTGACTTTTGTTCAAGGGGCATTAAGGTATGGCGGTTTCGGTATCATGTAACATATTCTCTTGCTCAAACACCGTAGAGTGCAACTTGCACCATGCACATGTCCTTGCACATTCCTGTGCCGGATCCCGAAATGAGTCTAAGCGCACTCTCAATCCTACAACACCCGGGGATCCTAGAATGCTTGCCACCCGGAACAGAGATCGTGAAGCTTACAAATGGAGACATGACCGCCCTCGAAGCTTTCCGAGCTTAAGCGGTCACCGAGCGCCCAGTCTGAAACCCGGCGAGTAGAAGCGCCGAAGCGCCCACTCAGAAGTCCTCAAAGCCGTTTCAAGCCCTGCGCGAGAATCCCGAAAGGTTCTCCGTGAGTTCAGCGTTCGTGTGCAGTGCCTCGTCGCCTCATCTTGGTCGGCCCCTGAAGCTTCTTTTGCATTTGCCTGTGGACTCTTCATTGAATCCTCCAGTTTGAGTCGCAAGGGAAAGCATGGGCGGGCTTAAAGATCCTTCTCCGTGAAGGTGTGCATGCTATGCCGCTTCCAACATGCAGGATATGACACTTCCAGACATGGAAATATTGATCCAAAGCAGAGTTTCCAGGGCGCCCTCTGGACTTGCTACCCTGATAGACTGAAGGCGAAACATCTTCTGACCAGATTTGCGCACATTCAGACCTGAAACCTCTCTGCATCCGTGGTACCGGGCCTAGTGACTGATTGAACGCCCCGGCAGAATTCCGGAGCCTCAGGCGGCGTGGACCCAAGGCCTTGACAGCCTTCCAGCTCCAGGCGAGGACCTCATGGCAGGTTTAGACAGGGCAAGGGCGTGGAGTGGATCGGACAAGGCCGGAGTACATGAAGGATTCCGGGTGTTTTCCCTGTCTGATTTTTTTTTGGATTGATGCAAGGATCCCGGAGCAACTTGGGATGTGGCTCTGGGTGCAGGACTTGGGGAATGCGAGCTTGCGCAAGGCAGAATGCCGAGGAAGATCACAACTGAACCGAGACATTTCAACTACACCGTGGAGGCTCCTGGAGTCCTGGAGCGTCGTCGCGATGCCAGAAATCGCAATTCTACTTGTTGCTTGTTCCAGGTGCTGGAAGCAGACGTCGTAGAGCTCGCACCTCTCATGAGGACCGCCGCAGGGGTTGACGAGGGGTTTGCTGCTTCGGGTTTCGTTTCTTCTGTATTCTGATTTGGGTTTCACTCAGAGCTATTCTGGCGAAAGCTTCCGGACAATATGCCCAATGCCAGATTGCCTAGTTTCTGTTCCCAAGCTTAGTGCATGTCTGGTTCCTCACGTTTGCTTCACCTGTATTGCAGTGGCCTAAGTACAGTATTTTGTTGCGCGTCTTACTGCATTGATTTATTGGATGACCGTTTCTACGTGATCTCGAGCTCATCTCTGCTTGCCTACAGTGTAAAAGCATACTGAATACATCGACAAAGACATAATATATAACATACAGTACTCCAGAAATGAATGAATGAATATGTTTTAAATATAACTACAAATATGTCAACATATGTGTATGTATGTATATATACATATATATATATAGGTATAGATCAATGTATAAACAAACTGTACCTGGCCAAAGTCTTTCATTGCATCATTGTGGCAGGTACCAAAGTCTGCAGCAAGATATCTGCGAGGGTTGGTCTTGCCCATTCTCGCATCCGCGGTCTTGCTCCTCGCGACTGCGCTCGTGCTACAATGGAAGTACAATCGTGGGGTATAATTGGGGCCATTAGGGACCACTTCAGAACATGTCGTCTAGACCGTGAACGTTGGAAGATGGAAACACGACCGTGGGATCTTCACTGCCATTGTGCCCAGAAGCCTCAAAGTCCCTAAGCGATGAAGCGCACCTGTGCAGGATTGCAGCAGCTGGACTTGCTGGCTGGATCTGTCTGAGTCGCTGCCTTACTTTCTGACTCTTGTGCAAGTTGAACTCCAGGTTCTCGAAACATCTCGAAAGGTAGTTGTAGGTGCAATGTTGTCATGGTTGAGCTACTATAAGCCTTGTCATCCTGGTGCATCCGGGACCAGGATCTTGGTTGCATAGTCGCGGCTGACGATGCCGGCGGTACGGTGAAAACTCAGACGGCTCGACAGCGCGTGGACTCATGTCACTTTAGGATCATGGATTGAGGATTGCGATGTGCTGAAAAGGACTCTATAGTGTGACCACCGTGTACACTGATTCATGAACAATGCGTCGAATATCTGATACGGAACAGTGGGAGCTGCTTCTTGGCTACTGATTCCGACCGACGTGGTCGTGCTCCCAGATTGAAGGCCGTCTCGCGCTCATGCGGAGGTCGCGACCTGGACGAGCGCGGCGTCGTCCAGCGTGAGGAGGCCCTGAGCAAGGCCTGGCAGTTGTTCGAACTTGCGCTTCAGAGTCTTTTTCCGAGCCGGTACGTGCAGGCCATTGTGTACACCACTATGTGAGCACAAATCCCCTTAAAAATTCTGCACCCATCTCAGCTCGCAGAATGCGGATAAAAGCAAAAAGCATGCGTTTGGCAACTGCGTTTTTTGCGCCAGGGCCAAGAGACAGGGCCAGGGCCAGGAGAGTTGAATTTTCGGTACATCAGGCAAGCAAGTGCGAAAATTGCAAGATGTAAACTCACGCAAGAAACTGCAAACCGTGTGTGTTGGAGTAGTGTGTTTTGTTGCATGTTTGGTGAAGTGAGCATGAACCAGACATTGTGGATCCATTTGGTCAACGAACGTTGGGGCAAATGCAGCAGCCGCTATCTCCCTGATGCATTTGGGATGGATTTCTCGCATGTTCGACCTGATCGTTTTCGCATCTTTTGAATTCCTGGTAGATAATTTGAGATTTGGAAGCGATGGACCATAAGTATACCAGCGGTTGTTGGGGCAAATCCATTTGCCTTGGCCTTGGTTACCTGGTTGACTTGTCAGAGTAATGGCAATGTACTCCTTGGTAGCTTCGGCCACGGTTTTCAGCTTTCAGTCCGAGCTCGCGCAGACTACCTAGCGAAGCTTCCAATGCCCGCAGCAGTCCCTGAGGTGGAGCGGAGTCTTGCCGGGAAACCTTCGTATTAGGTATTGGGCGTGGGCTCCCTGTAGAGCTGTTCGACATATCCAGAACGCTCAAGTACGCAGATTGCGCAGTCCTGAGAGCAACTGATCTAAGTCCCAGGTGATCTACGAACTCTGTGGATCTTTGCGAGCTTTAGAGCGTGTCTGGGCCGCACAGCTTTTAGGTATGGCTTGCGGCTTGAGTGGACTACCAAGATACAAAATTTCAATACAGTAACAAGAGAAGATCGCAGGGTTAAAGACCTCCCAGTGGAAAGCAATAAAGACAAGACCAAGCCCTGCGGCCTTGGCGTGGTGCTCGATCCTATGCTGATGCTATGACGGAGTTGAGCAGCAGATGCAGTTGAAGGAACCTAAAGACGGATCCTGTAGACTCAGTTTGCAAATCATGATCTGTGTTTTTTGGTACCGAGGAAAGTGCAACTGTGGTGTAGATCTGTTAGATGTCGGAGTGTGGGCTTGGCATGAAGTTGGGCATTCAGACAGAGCCCCGATAGCAGCCTGGAACTCGGATGATTTGGGCAGAGCCTGAGAGCTCTTGACGCGCAGCCGTGGAGCCTGGAATCGACCCACAAACTCTCGTCCTGGTTGCGGCTCGAGATCCTATATAGATCCTAGACCCTGTAATCCTGAAGCCCCGAACCTCGCACGTGCCACGAGTCCAGCCCTTCGCACAGGAATTCTTACGCTGCAACAAGCATAACGACAGAATTAGTATTCATTCTGCTCCACCGGGGTGCATTTTATTCTACGGAGCTTTGCAACTTGTACAACTTGTATGCCCTGTAGCTAGTCTAGGTTGTATTCAGATAATCTTGTTGTTTCGTATTTCTTCCCAAGGCCATTAGCTAACCACGGCGATACCCAACCCCAGAAGGCACACCCGAAGCAAGCCAGGAGCTATGTCCTTGCGTGGCTTTGTGGACCTCAGCCATTCCACGGCCTGTGCACTCTCCGGCGCACAAGAAGAGGCAAATCTAGGGCTTTGGGTTGCGCGTAGATTGCGGTTGGATATCGTGGTGTTCACGGGTTTGTTCCAGTCTTGCGCGGCTTTGTTTGTTCATGATGCGCTGACTGCCTGATTTATTCCTCAATCTGTAATTTGGGGTGGCAATCTTTTAATTTGGGGGGTTGAAATTTTGAATGGTTGATTCGGGGGGTTGAGTTTCTAGATTGTGCCGCTTGCACATGTCAACATGATGCGATTGAAAAAACGATGGCGGTTGATTGGATTGGTTGGGTTGGTTTGTGTCGGTTAGGTTGGTGGGGGGGGGGGGCAGGGCGAGCAAAAAAAGGACCCCGATCTGGCTGCAACATGCCATATGAACGAGACGTAGTGCCATGGCTGAAATATGGCCCATCCAACTAGTTATGAGTATTATCTATGTCATGTGATTATGAATTTGGCTGGGACATGCCACCCCTCGTGGTTGCAACATCCCACGAAGTGGACGACAGATCCCCTGAGATTTCCAAGGGGTGCCATGAGAAAGGGTATCAATGACCATATATAATAGTGTTGTGCTATGCTATCTTAAAGTTGGTCGGAGCTAGATAAGCAACGAGTACCAGTCGCTGAAAAACGCATGATTGTTGCTTGCTTGTAGGGGCAGAGTTTAGGAACTGTCTGATGTGCAAAGATTCTAACTTGATGGTTAGCATTTTGCTCAAAATACCGCAGCAAAAGGTGGGTTTCATTTTGCTCCGAACGCTATGTCAGTGGTCAACTCCAACTCGCTTCGTGCAAGTGATGTTGAGCTACTGATACAGGCACTGCAAGCCAAACTGCGAAACGAGAGATCTTTGGTCGAGTTCGTCGCCATGCAGCTTGAGCATGTGGTGGAAACCCTACGAATGAGCACAGGTGACTGGTGCCAGAAACCAAGTGTGTCTTTGCCTGCTGCCATCGTGATCGCTGCATTCACATCAGCTCGAATCACAATTGAAAACGGCCCGGATGCAGAGACGGTAGTTCTTCCTCCCACCGATTATGTATGCCGTCAGGGACCCTTTCCTGAATCCTATGACAGGCTGTCCATTGCGCTTTTAAAGGAGCATCTTCATATGGTTCGAGGCACAAAGCTTGTGATGGAGCAGTTTGGGGCCACTTTCGACACAGTGCCAGTGCTAGCAGACTGCTTTCTTGTGCTGAAGCCGTTCTTGGCAGAGCTGGAAGAAGAGATGGAGTCTCATCTTCGAAATTTGCATCGAAAAAAACATAGCTCTTTGGATGCTCTGGACTAGCTGCTCGGTTGAATCATGCCTGAAGCTGCAGTCCTGTTGCCCCAGTTTTGGTTTCCAAGCATTGTTCCTGCGAGCTTCGGGCACAAAAATCAACAGTCAGTTGGTGCTGCTTGGTGCTGGCTTAATTGGCGACATGCTGACATTCCACGCTTGCTGTGCAACCCGAGTGCGATTCGTCTGCCCGAAGCTGCCTGGCTGAAAAAAAAGCCACGGAAGTAGGTTACGGTAGTTCCACAGGCCCTGGTGCGAAGCTGCAATGGCAGCACTTCGCCTACCTGATGATGATGCTGAAGGGCACGACTTTGCTGCTGACCTTTTTGCACCGCCAGTGTTACCACCTCAGCCTGTCGGCAACAGGCCACCGGCCTCCTCTGCCGCAGCAGCAGCAGCGGAATCACCAGGGACTGCTTTTGTGACGCCTCCGAATAAGCGGCCCCGAAAGATGCAGTCATCGTCTTCTTTGTCCAGCCAGATGTCGGGAGACAAGACGTCTAAGCAGCTCTTCCCGGAGAGTGGCTCACCGTGCTTTGACTGCTTAAATTTGTCTGAGGCATATTGTCAGGCATGAGATCTTTTTCTGAAGCCTGGTCGCTCATACCGAGGAAGCCCTGCTGCAAGCTTGCCTGCAACCGCAAATTCCTCGAGGATGAGACGCTCAGGAAGCAACTGGATGATCTTCTTGCGGAGATGATGACCTTGTCTGCGGTGGAGAAGAACAGGAAGGTTTTGCAGCTGATGGGGGCCATGCAGCTTGAAACTTGGCTAGATTAAAAGCTGTGTCCAGTGTTGGCATGACTTCTTCGGAGCCATTGTGGTCTGAGTGACAGGCATGGGATGGCCTGTCTGTGCAACAATGGGAACTGTTCCGCATTCCCGTGTGTATGTCGGGCTTCTGCATCTTGATGGAGATCAACGAGAAAAGGGTGCTTTGTTGCAACCAGCTTCGTAGCAGTGGCAAACACAGATTCACGCCGATGTGCCGACTTGTGTTTCGTGTAAGTCGGGGGATCTGCAGGTGCTGCGGCTGATGCCCGGGCTGAAGACTGGCCAGGTTCCCGCAGATATGCGATGTCAGAATGGGCAGTGGCACCGCGAAAACGTGACGCCGGAGTTCTCGGATGTAGATGCCTTCCTCAACTATGTCTACGAATTTCTCGTAGCCTCTTTGCATAGACTCTGAGGTCGGAGAGTTTTGAGGAGCGCCGAGCAATTTGTGCTTCTAACTTGTAAGGCAGAGCCCTTGGCCGAGAATGAAGTGGACAGCAGCAATCCTTTCCTTGGGGCTGCATTGCAGGGAGAAAGCTACTTGGCGGAAACAGGCCTGTACTTTGTGGCTTTCCATTCACCTAGATCCTTTCCAGGCCTGCCAGACGACGACGCTGGGCCAGCAGAACATCTCTTCGATCCGGAGAAGGCTGTGTACCGAGAAGTCGTGCACCACGACCAGCCCGCAGTCTCCGCATGTCTGGATATCGCAGGCCACAGCTTACTCGTCGTTCAGAATTAGGAGCATGTTCTTGCTGTTTTTTATTAGGAAGTCCCAGTGCACGGCAGGACCAGGCCTACGGGAGAAGCGGTACTTGGGGTGGAGGACCTACACGTCCTTCTACGAGGAATACAAGATCTGGTCGCAGGAGGAAAAGAGCTCCTTCGCCACCTTCCGCAGAGTTCTCGCAGTGTGGCTCGAGAGGGGAGCACTGGCATTTCGCAAATTGTCCCAGCACGCCAGGTTCGCCTGCTGCTATGGTGCAATTTTCAATGTCGGGATTGCAATGAAAGTAGTGTGTGAGATTCATGGCTAGTTGGAAGCATCGGATGTCGGAGTCTGAGTTCCGCAGCATGCCATTTTTGTCGAGCACAGTTTCCAGTCGCAGATTTGCCAGGTGCCCCACTTGTGCCGAGTTCTCGGTGAGGGCAAAGTCGGCCAAGGGCACGGTGTCAGATGAGATGGAAAAGATTCTACAGGCCCAGCGACATCACCTGCAACTGGTGAAGGAGTATCGGTGTGTGCAGCCTCGCTACTCGCACATGAGCGAAGGGTCATGCAGAGACTCCTCGGAGAACGCCTCGGGCTTGCTAAAAGTCGACGTGGACTTTTGTGATCAATCCAAGTTCAAAGTGCCACGGAACACGTCGTCTTCGAAGTCGCTGGAGTCTCTTTGGAGACCGCAGCTTCACTTGGCAGCCTCGGGGAGAGACTTGATGGCAAGAGGTGTACTTGCTGTCTCTTCACATGGCAAGGAAGGGGTTTTGCTGAGTCGACTCAAGTTTGCGAGTGCTACTTCCTCTTCGAATCGGACTCACCGAAAGACTCGAGCAACGAAATCTCGCTCCTTTGCGAGGGTCTCGACCAGGCACAAGGCGAGTTGTCCAAGCGAGGCTTGGGGCTTCCGCCCCACTTGGTTGTCGAGGCCGGATTGGTTGTCACACCTTTCTCATGTAAGGCTTTTTGAGGCTGCTTGTCCGTTGTATGCCTGTAATTTTCTTGGCTTGTTGCAGCCTGTGTCAGACGGACAACACTTGCCGAGAGGGCAAGAACCAACATGTGGTTATGATGTCGTCCTGGGCAGTGGCCCGGAAAAAGCATCTTGGCGATGCCTTCGTTTCCTTGTGCTGCTTTGAAGGTTTATGATGTTTGGCTGTGACATGCCACACGTTGCTTTGTATTTCCACCAGTCCTTCAACAATGAAGAAGGACGAGCTATGACGAGCTCCCTAACTGAGTTGCTTAATAAGGTTTTGCTGCAGGGATTCGTGCACCATGCTGCACAACCGAGATTCCGGTCCATCTCGCACATCTTCGGGCCAGTGGGCCACACGCACGGCCCTCTGGACCAGAGGTTCAGCATCGTATCAACGGCTTTGAGCCAGGCCGCGACGCTGGAGACTCCCCTGGCTCCTGTTTTGCAGATCAATGGGCACTGAACAGTCATCGGTTGTCCAGTGCAAGGGTCGTACTGCTGCTGCATCCTTGCATTCAAGGACTTTATCCGCTGCATCGAAAAAAACGTGCACCCGGCCAGAGGGCGGACCATGATCTTGAAGGTTATGAAGGGGAGCTTCGACTTCAAGCTCTACTTCTCCGAGCTTGGCATTACCGTTGCCGGGCTGACTCCGAACCCCAAAGCACATGTCCTCCACACCACGCACTGTTGGAGGTTCGTGAGGCGAGCGGAAACTCGCTCTGCACTCAAGAGATGTAGGAGTCCTTCTCATCGGGCTTGCTTCTGAAGTTATACTTTGGCGACCCTCGGAAACAGCGAGGATCTGGCACAGTATGATCGGCACACTGAAAGCTCCTGGACCGTGAAGGAGCTTCGTGAGGACTGTCCGAAGCACCAACAGTCAAGCAATACTCTTCTGTGAAGGCTGAATTTTCTCATCTGGGAGCTTCGCTGCAGGACGTGCCCGCATCCGAGGACGACGCCGTGCTGTTGGTGAAAGAGTGGGTTTCCAGCCCAGACTTGTCCCAGGCCCCACTTTGCATCCTGCCGGCTGCATTCCTCAGCCGTCTCGATGATGTGCCGCTGAAAGTGCACAAGCGAAATGCTTTGCCTGCAAGGGCTCGCGAGGAGCTTCCAAGAAAGCAGTTAGTGCGGCACGAGGTCGAAGTTCTTAGCCAAGACTTAGTTAGTCCCAGGATCCCGATGCTTCTGCACTCAAAGAAACCCTTGTTCCAACTCAGGTTTCGCAAGGCTGCAAATGTCTTCGGCTCCGACCCCTGGAACCTGCACTCTGCGAAGCAGTACCTGCTGGACTGGGTTGACCGGAACGAGAGGGCTGTGTTGGACGAGCTTGAGCCTTTCCAATGGATTTGGAATGATCAGAAAGTGGACCTGCGACGTGCCAGTCCTGCTGGGCCATTTTCTCAGTGGGTGATTCTCCTTTTAGTTTGTTGCTTTGGTGCATGCTGCAGGGGCCTTGTTTCCTTGCTGCTGCAACGACTGAGGTGGGAACAGTACGCTCCTGGGCCAGTTCGTTTGGTATCGGCTGCTGCAGAAGCAGACGCTGACAGAATTGCGGTCACGGCCAGGGACAATGCAAGACGCAAGCGCCGAGCAGCCGCTGCTGTCGCAGAGGCAGCAGCAGCAGCACCACCACCACCACCGCCACCAGAAGGTCCAGCTGCAGCACCTGCTCCCAGGGAACCGGAACCGCCGGTAGCAGTGCCCAACCCAGAGGCAGGTGCAGTGCCTCGACAGTTGGGCTGTGGCAAGTGCCGCTACGCTGCCATGGGATGTCGTCAATGTCGCCGCCCAGATTATGTTCCTCGAGGCGGCGGTCGTGGAAGAGCCAATGCAGTTGCAGCGCCAGCACCGCCTGTGGCTCCGGAAGCGGCCGGAGCAGCCAAAGGCGATGGACGTGGTCGTCGTGGTCGTGGCGGCGGTCGTGCCGGCGGTGGTCGTGCAGGCGGCGGTCGTGGCGGACGCCGTGGCGGACAGTGAGGGCAGCTGAGGTTCAAGTTTTCAAAGGTCTTGGGGGTTAACACATCCCAGCACCTGAGCAGCAATGCCTCGTGTCCCAAACCCCACACCGACTACAGAACAGTCTAACAGGAGGTCCTTGTTTTGGCACACTAAAACGGAGGTGATTCTGCCAGGGATGGTGCTGGATGTGCTATCCAGAAAAGTATCGGGCTCTCTGGTTCTTATCTGCCAGGATGACTGAAACATGTCATCGCTTGTCTTGAAGAAGCCATTGACTCAGACGAGGTCGAGGCCTAGATCCGACACGGGTCCTGCGAGCCAGAAGCAAGAAAAGGATTTTCCGAATCTGTCTTCAGAGCATCTTGTTTGTTGTGGCCCGCTTGCAGCTTTAGAGTGAGCGAACGCTTCTGTCCTTGATCTGCGACTGGTGCCAGGTCCACTGCTCTTGGTTCTGAGTCCTGTGATGCTGCTGCTGTAACAGCTGAGTGGGCTCCGTAGTGTTTGCAAGTTGCTGCAGTTGTTTTGTTTGATGTGGCAGGTCATGCCTGTCCCTGGCAGATTGTTGGCTCTAGGATCACTTGACAAGGCCGTAGCTGCTTGCAGCTATCATGGGGAATGTTTGCTCCCGCCGCTACCAAAGTGAGAATCCTTGTTCGGGGCGCTGCGACTGTGGTCGCATCTGCGGCCGCACCAAAGAGCGACACGGATCGCACTACTGCATCCACTGCATCGCCGCTTACTGGAACATGGAGGACGTCCAGAAAGCAGCTCGGCGAGCAGCATGGCGGGCTGCGAATTCTGAAGCTGAACCGTCGCAAGAGCCGAATAATGAGCCGAATAATGACTGACTGACTTGGGCATGCTATCCGCAAAGTAAAAGGGCTGTGCTTTGGCCTTTGCTATTTGTCGTGTGAGCTGTGAGTGCATGGCTTCAGGCCGAAAGCTTTTGGACCCTAAACTCTGAATATCCTACGTGCTTCTTGCTCTCATCGCCCGATTCAAGGTGGACTGCCCGGGTTCGCCAAGCCGACCCGATGATGGAGGTGGAACTTTCCTCAGCCCTGCAGAACAAGAGTGACAACTTCGTGCCCCGGAACGCCCCGAGCTCCTGAGCCAGACATATATGATAGGCATAATTGGGTTTTGTGCTGCTTGCCAAAAAAAATTGTTTCATTGGCCAGTGTTACAAGGCTTGGCGAAGATTATTGATGCTGCAAGCCTCAAAGTTCCAGGGACAGGCAGCATGGGGGCCGCGAGCGAACTCGATGTTTGCCAGAAGAACTTGGACCAGAAGACCTTTGAGGCCATGCAATCCGAAGTGGAGTGGGACATGAAAGCCTTCGAGGTGCATCGCAGCAACAAGGAGAACTACCTGGTCTCTGTTCGTAACCAACAGCTGCAGCATGAGAAGGAGCTCCTGGCTGATGCCCGCAAGGCCGTTGATGCCTACTTCGAACAATATGTGACTCGCCTGCAATACCTCAGAGTGTTTTTGCAGTTAAATCGCACGCTGCGACCTGGTCCAGAAAGTGAAGCTGAGGCATCCTTGCGAGTCTGGGATGAGAAGGATGCTGGAGTGGTGGCAATCGCGAACACAAAGACTGACATTGCTGCTGTCAGCCAGCGACACCACACCCAAGCCGCAGTGACCGGATAGAAATTCATGGTGCTTCAGGCTTGTTTTGCAAATGCATCTGTAGACACCTGCACTGTAGCTATAGATATCTTCAGCCGAGGTCTCCGTGGTTTTCGCGAATTACACGGCTCCTTGCTTGATTGCCGCGAACCACTTTACAGCATCCATCAATTTGATGCAGCATGTGATGGCGGAGCACCCGGAAAACGTCGGCCTTGCCCTACTTCCAATCTATTCTCACACAAAAAAAACGGCAGATGGTCAGAGGAACAGGCTGTGATGAAGAGCATCGCAAACATCAATCTCGTCACAGACCACACGTTTTCGCTCGTCTTCGACGACCGAGTGGCAACTTGACTTGCAAAACAGCAATATGCAGCTGTGTTTGTTGTCGTGTCTGAGAATAAACGAGGATGCCAGAGACGAGCGACCTCTGAACTACCACGGAAGACTGCTGATGGTGCCGCCTGTCCACGCAACGCCGCCTCAGTCGCTGTGGAAGAAAAGTTCTCTGTTAGTCAAGGGCCGCACGAACCCAGCCAAGCAGCTTCCAGCTGGGCAAATGCTTCGCATCGAAATGATCGACCAGAGCACCCTGCCTAGTGTCACTGGGGACATTCCCCTGAAAGGAGCCGCGAAGTATGCTCAGCTCGGCAAAGACGCCTGCTCCGCCCTGGTTTCGAGCCTGTTCGAAACTTGACTTTATAGTTTTTGCTGAAGTTGGCGGTCTAACCGTCTAACCCGACAGTCCTGAGTCGTAGCTGCCGCAAACCAGGAGAACGTCGACATCCCGAGCACGATGCTGGTGCACTTGCTCGACTTGGTGCCGGACGTGGGCAACATGTGGCAAGCTTTCGTTCAGCTGCAGCAGACCTCGAACCACGCACTGCACTACACCGCCATGCTTCCGGATGCTACGTCCCAGGAGTGGTTTGAGACCACGCACAAGTCCCTCTTGGTCGACCAGTACCTGGAGGGCACATTCTCGGTCCCTGGCTTCGCCAAGCAACACGGCAGATGAATCTTTGGTTGAATTTGACTCTTCTGGCTGCAATAATGCCAATGAAGCAATCAATGACTTTGCCCGTCACTCTGGCTGCAATATGCCATCATTCAAACAAGCTTGCCTGGCTGAAAGATGCCACGCTCGGCACCAGGGCTCATTCGCTGTTTGACGTCTCGATGCCATGCTTGCTGCGAACTTAGGCGCCCAAAACAGGTGCCGGCGACGGCACTCGTGGAGCCTGCGGCTCCACCTTTGAAACGATTGGTCTACGGCAAGGAGCTTCGACTTTTAATATGTCATGTGTATATAATGTAATTCTTACTGTTGTTGTTCGGCTCTATTGTTTATTATGCTGGAAGGATGACAATGATGTGCCGGTCCTGCTCAGCTTTTCCGAAGTCGACATTCGCAAGTGGTGCAGCCACCCGATTTTCAAGGATGAGTTTCAGACTTTGAAGCAGCAGTTGGCTGACAAGTACGGCACGCTGGAAGAACTCAAGGCAGCTGCAAAAGCTCAGGCCAAAGCAGGAGTCAACAAGCGGCCTTCACCCGCAGGCTCTTCGGGGAGCCAAGCCAAGAAGCTCAAGATTGAGGACAGCGACCTTGTCGGCTTGGATGACATGAAAGGAACATTGCTGCAGGAGGCCAGCAACGACGGGCTTCGGGTTTAATTTTAGGGTCTTTGTGATTTGGGTTGCTTTTGATATGTAATACCCTTCAGGTGCCGATCGGAAACGCTGTGCGAGCAAAGGGAGAAACTGAGCAAGTCTACTTCGTGCTCAGGGATGGTGCGATGTACATCTGCAACAAGACTTCCCAGTCTGCGACGGTGCTCCAGCACGTGGTGCTGGCTGCCTTCGGCCGAGGCAAATGGACCCAGACTCCCAAGCAGGGAGTCCTGAACATCCCCTTCGAGCTGACGACCACCGACGACGTGGTCATGATCGACAACAAAGTGCTCGACCTGAAGCAGGTTCTCAAAGATCACCAAAGGGCCGGCGAGGTCATGGTGGCCTATCACAAGACGACTCCTAAGCCTGGTGTGACTGACGACTACGATCTGAAGAAAGTGTTTTGTCTTGAACGTGTGAATGTTGTTTTTTTTGCTGCTTGCTTCCTTCCGCACATTGCCCCTGGTTTTTGTTCATGAGCAGTAGCTAAGTGCCGTTTCTGCAGGAGCACAACGTCGTCTTTTTGCCCGAGGAGAACCAGGTGCCTCAGGAGAACGGTGTGCCGAAGTACACGCAGGGCAACTTGGCCTTGGCAGTGACCCCATCGAAATGGGAGACCAAAGGAACAGGGCTGAAGTGGACCTGTCGCTGGACGGTTACCGGATTGACTCCGGTTCGCCCCTTGGTTTTGACGACAGCTGACATTGTACTGCCGGCACAGAAGGCCTTGTTGTTGAGCTGAAGCTGCTCCGCACGGTTCTGTGCTGCCCCACATACTCAAGCGAGTTACTTGTTGTTTCCCAATAGGGTCTTTGTTCTTGCTATGAATCTGTTCGGCTCCAAGGTATGATAAGACTTCAGAGCATATTGCTGGGCAGTTGCAGACTGTAGTTTTGTCGTCAGCGAGCCTCGCTTACGGCGGGCATTGCCTGAAACATGGCAAGGTTTTGGCTTCATAGAAGTTCATCGTTTCTCACCGGCAGCAGACGTCCTGCAGCAAAGCAGCAGCAAAACGCATGCTTCCAAGTTGTAGCTTCGCCGAACTGATCTGCAATCTTGCGAGGGTTTTGTTTTTCGTCGGAGTGGGGTCTGCAGCTCTACTGCTTGTGAAGTCTGTGGCCCGAGCTGTGAGCCCCGAAGTCCCACAACCTACTGTAAAGCAGCAGCAGCAGCATGGGCAAAGGAGGCCGAGGCCGTGGATCTGGGAAGGGCACCGGAAAGTGGCACCGCTGCTTGTCTGCATGTATGTAAAGTTCGATCTCAGGTGCTGCCGTCTTTGGAGTTTCGTCCTGCCCAAGGATGGCAAGGGTGCACGGATTACGAGAACTTTGACTCGTGCAGTGCAAAGGGCTCTGAGCACAGCCTTAGGCCCTGGCCCCAGCAATTTCGAAAACTGCCTGTAAAAATACAGAACTCAATTATCGAAAGCTCCTCGTTTCAGGCCTGCCTGACAAGTGGGAGGAGCCGACCCCGGAGCCAGAGCACCCCGTGGAGGACCAAGAAGAGGAGGAGGAGGAGGAAGAAAAGCAGATGCCGAGGTGGAGCCACCAAAGAAGGCGGAACCCTTCCCCCCGCCGCCGCCGCCAATGATGGCCCTGACAGCTCCGGAGCCCGGGAAAAAGGAGGAGGAAAAGGATGATGGTAAGGAGGATGGGGCAAAAGGCGAGGCTCCGGCAGACAATGCTAAGGTGGAGCCGGCGGCCAGCAAGGATCCGCTTCCGGACACGGCCACGGGTGACGACAAAAAAAAGGATGATGATGATGGGTGGCTGAAAACGGACTACGACAAGGAGGATAAGGACGAGTGGTGGAAAAAGAGGGGCTGGCAAGGCGGCTGGGCCCACGACGATTGGCGCCAGAAGCAGCCCTGGATGAGAAATTTTCCGCCAGAGCATCCCATACACAGACGCCGCCACGACCTTGGATGGTGTAGGCTCTGTTACGTCAAAACCCGGAAGGCCGGCCTGAGTGTGACTGCCCTGCCTGCCCTGTGTCTATCTGTTGCATTCCTTGCCGCCAGGATGACGGGAGCTGCTTGAACAAGGAATGCAGATTGAATAAGTGGGAAGCTGATGATACATGGTACAATGAGAAAGAAGATGAGAAGGAGGAGGAGGAGGAGAAGCCAAAGGATGATGGACCTGGCAAGGTGAAGAAGCTTAAGCCAAAAACCAAGACGAAGCCCAGGAAGAAAGCTAAGGCAAGATACCAATAAACAAATTCTAGACCCCTGCTCCTTATTCTTTCAACCTGTGCACTCGTCGTTTTGATCAGGCGACGCCGATGCCGTACATGGAGGAGCCCAACCCGGCTTCTCGCAAGCACTGCTTTAGTTTAAACCGTCGAGTTTGACTGAGATGAAACTTTGTTCACAACATGTTGTTGAGTCCAAGGCTGGAGGAAAAAAGCGCCCACCAAAGGGCGGCGATGGCGGCCGTGGAGGGAATGCTGGTGCTCCCATGGTGACAATCAAGGGCTAGGTCCTAGGTGCTATTTTTTTGCCAAGCGGCAACGTTAACCATGGATATCTCGCAAGGGACGCCTCTTCTGACTCTTTTGTTGCTGCACTTGGAAAAATATGTTGAACTGAGCAAACCCTGTTTGCAGGATGCACTGGCAGCTTCACTTGCAGCTTCGTTTTTGCATGTGCAATTTCCCCCTGACGGCTCATAACTTCTGGAAGGCTGGGACGTGCCAGGATCCTTTACGCATGACTGTTCAGATGAACCTTTCAACTCAGAAGCCCGGATTGTAATACCGGGGGTGGTGGAGGGTTTCGCAATGGCTGCAACATGCCAAGCTTTTGAGCTTGAACTGATTAAACATAGAACCCTGAGTACAGAAGCCGGCTGCAATGCCGGGGTGGTGGAGGGATGCGATATGGCTGGAACATGCCATGGAAGTCGCTTCAGAAGGTGGGAAGTCTGCTCCCCAAAACGCTGATCGAAAAATCAACCCCCCAAATTAAAAGATTGCCACCCCAAATCACTGATCGGAGATTATTTGCGGATCCGAATAAAATGCCTTAAGGACGGCGGACCGGGTAACAGGCCTTGGGCCGACAGGGTACGACCAAGTTTTGTGTCTGCCTCGTGAGGCCAGGCACTCGACAAGGCTTTACTTTGAAGTTCACAGTGTTGCTCGGTGAGTCATTGAATATGCCTTTGAGCACCCCTTCAGGCAGTACTGTATGTCCTGGCCTGCTTCAGCATCGTGTCCCAAACAGTATCTTGCAAGCTCCAACCGATCTGGTGTTTGGCCGGCATCCTGCAGATTCACAGGTTAGCTGCGTGGGGGGATCTTGCATGGTTGTATTTTGCCGAGGAGTTTGCTATCATCAAAGGGTAATTTCATTTTATAGCGCGAGGCTCGGTACGTGAGTCTCGGGGTATATAGAGCCTGCATCCAGGTGTCTCTTCAAGTTCCGGTCGGATGTTGGGGGTCGTGTCGTTATTAAACAATCGTGCGTGAAAGCTTTTTGGGTTCTTCAATCGGTGCATGCTGTTTGCTGTTTCTTGGCCAAACACGTCCGCTGCTCGCGGCCCTGCATCCATCCATGCGTTGATGCGTGCAGTCCACCCGCGGTTTGCATGAACATACTTGATCTGTCATTGAGTTTCGAGAAGATCTGTGTATCCTACCAAGCCCAGAACTTTAGCCTGGGCAGTATTGCACGTAGCCGTTGTTCTCATGAAGATATCATCTGCAGATGCTGTGAGTCCTGCAATTACACGGATTATGAGTTCTGTGTACAGAGTGCCAGACTAGTACCAGACTATCGTACCACCGCTCAGGGTTTGGGACGCTGGTGCTGATGTAGGACCTGAAGTTGAAGTCTATTGAAACCGATGCTTGGTGACAGGCCCGGCACAGTCTGTATCAGCTTCTGCTCAGTTTCGAGAACTGTGGCTTGGATCAGGCTGGGTTGTGAGAGGTGAGGGTGTGGGACGTAAGAGAGAAGATCAGTCAGACTGTGCGGCATATGGGTCTGTCTTTTTTGGGGGGGTTGAATCTGTAGTCTTGGAGGAGTGTTGTCCTTGCGCGAAACACACCCCGAAACATACCCCGAAACATATCCTGAAACATACCCCGAAACATACCCCTGAAACATACCCCTGCGTTATTCAAATCGTTTGGATGAAGTTAGCAGCGGGCGAAGGTCTAGAGTAGCTCAACCCAGGTCAGGAAAGGTTTCCCGTGACATACCCGTAACATACCTGAAACATACCCGAAACATACATGGATTTGCTCCAAGTGGCCCGTTGGCCTTTTCCGCTTCGAAGCGATACTAACCGCCTGACAAGTCGGGACCTTGCAGACCTGCAGCCCACAACGATGCCTGCACCACTACTGCAGCTATTGTCACTACTACTTCTACTACTACTACTACTACTACTACTACTGCTACCGCTACCGCTACCGCTACCGCTACCGCTACCGCTACCGCTGCCGCTGCCGCTGCCGCTGCCGCTGCCGCTGCCGCTGCCGCTGCCGCTGCCGCTGCCGCTACCGCTACCGCTACCGCTACCGCTACCGCTACCGCTGCGGCTGCTGCTGCTGCTGCTACTGCTACGCTACTGCTACTGCTACTGCTACTGCTACTGCTACTGCTACTGCTACTGCTACTGCTACTGCTGCTACTCCTGCTACTACTACTACTACTACTACTACTGCTACTACTACTACTACTACTACTACTACTACTACTACTACTACTACTACTACTACTACTACTACTGCTATCACTACTACCAACTTCTAGTACTACGACGACTACTACTGCTAGTGCTACTGCTACTTATTGTCTGCGCGAAACACACCCCCAAACATACCCCGAAACACACCCCGAAACATACCCTGAAACATACCCGCGAAACATACCCCGATCCCAACACTCCTGGTAGGGCGCCCCCTATTCGGACAGACCCATATGGCAAGCACAATTCGCACCCGAACGGTCTGATCCTGGAGCAGCTGCCATTTACCGCAAACGGAGGAGCAAGTGGTTGCGATACGCCGGGGGGTGAGGCCTTAGACAGGGGAACCTGCAGAAACGGTCGTCCGTGTCCACAGGTCGTGATGCCACCGCTTTACAAGCCCAGACCCCAGCTGCAGCAAATGTGGCCGGGGGTAGGGCCAGATTAGAGAAAGAACAGCTGCGACAGTGCTTTTCTGACACGCTAGTTCGGGGCCAGGGCTCAGGAGTAGTCGGTTTACGTGCCGCACGTGCAGACGAAGTCTGCTCTTACATTGCATTGCCATACTCCGGCAGCCAAACAACTGTCCGCCGCGTTTATCAAGATGCCCGACTGCGACACATGCTCAAATTACACGATGTTCAAGTCAGTTACCTCGCTCTCCAGCAGTATGGGCTGCCAGAACGAACCTAAGGCGGATGCTGGATGCAGTGACCGCCTGAAGAGAGCGCAGACACAGCCATCCCAGAGCTCAGCTGCAACTTCGTACGACATCGCATTGTATAGCAACAAGACCGCTGCCAATGCCCAAGACCGCGCTGGCTTTACAGGAGATGACACGACAATGACCTCTGTTCATTTCAGTTGGTTGTCAAGGCTTGAGAGCATGGCCTGCGCCGCGGAGTACAACTTGGAATCGCTGATATTTGGCCCGAGGCTTCTGAGCCATTCAGAGTCAACAGTAGTCAGGATTGACTTCTCAACGCATGTCGCGCTGGCACAAGTAGATGATCTGGTAGCCCCGTACTCACAGAGCAATGCTTTG